TTTCCACATCCTCGACGAGTGTTTCCATTTCGTTCCATGTGGTTCTCAAAATTTGAGCTCCTGAACTCTGCGTGGTACGCCCATTATAGGAGCGCATACTGACCAGACCACCCAACGCATCACTTTGACTGGTCCACTGAATTAGATGCCTCTCTTTTTGTGTTAGTCCACTAGATCAGACTATTTTCAAAATTTGAGCTCCTGAACTCTGCGTGGTACGCCCATTATATGTGCGCATACTGACCAGACTACCCAACACATCACTTTGACTGGTCCACTGGATTGGATGCCTCTTTTTTTGTGCTAGTCCACTAGATTATACTATTTTCCACATCCTCGACGAGTGTTTCCATTTCGTTCCATGTGGTTCTCAAAATTTGAGCTCCTGAACTCTGCGTGGTACGCCCTTTATAGGTGCGCATACTGACCAGACCACCCAACGCATCACTTTGACTGGTCCACTGAATTGGATGCCTCTCTTTTTGTGCTAGTCCACTAGATCATACTATTTTCCACATCCGCAACGAGTGTTTCCATTTAGTACCATGTGGTTCTCAAAATTTGAGCTCCTGAACTCTGTGTGGTACGCCCATTATAGGTGCGCATACTAACCAGACTACCCGATGCATCACTTTGACTGGTCCACTGAATTGGATGCTGACAAAGTTTGAAGAAAGAAAGAGGAATGAACTAGCAGAAATGGGGATACAAATAGCAAACCCTAGAAGGGTTGTACTCGCTATAGAGCACCCCACTACAGGCTAGAACATAAGAATAATATTCTGACAGATGCCTCTTTTTTTGTGCTAGTCCACTAGATTAGACTATTTTCCACATCTGCAACGAATGTTTCCATTTCGTTCCATGTGGTTCTCAAAATTTGAGCTCCTGAACTCTGCGTGGTACGCCCATTATAAGTGCACATACTGACCAGACTACCCAACGCATCATTTTGACTGGTCCACTTAATTGGATGCCTCTTTTTTTGTACAAGTCCACTAGATTAGACTATTTTCCACATCCGCAACTTGTGGACTAGCACAAAAGAAGAGGCATCTAATTCAGTGAACCAGTGAAAGTGAACCCAAATCCTATGGATCCGGAAGGTTATAACCTAATGTTGTTGAAGTAGAAGGCCTATTCGAGTGGACTGGCAAGAAAATGAGACCAACTGCATCTCTACAAACATAAGTAATGCGCTGGTCAGTTTGGTCGATATTCGCGCCTGTAGTGCAGGTAGGTACCATGTACGACTAGAATGCCTATATCTGCCGAATTACATAGATCCTCAAGGCTAGAGCCTGGTATTGGGGTGGGGGGTGGTATAATTTAAATATAATGGGAAATTATGTGGTATTTGCTGCATTTTTACATAGAAAAAAAATGCGGTGGTTGGTTCGGTCAGTATGCACGCTTGTGTGTAAGTACAAGGCGGAGCTGGAACATTGAAATCTCCCAAATCGTATGGATCAGGAAGGTTATAACCTAGTGTTGTCGAAGTAGAAGGCCTAATCTAGTAGACTGGCAAGAAAAAGGGACCAACTGCATCACTACAAACATAAGTAATGCGCTTGTCAGTTTTGTCGATATTCGCGCCTGTAGTGCAGGTACCATGTACAACTGGAATGCCTATATCGGCCGAGTTACATAGATCCTAAAGGTTAAAACCTGGTATGGGGGTGGGGGATGGTATAATGTAATGGAAAACTATATGGTATTCACTGTATTTTTACAGAGAAAATAATGCGTGGGTCGGTTTGGTCAGTATGCACGCTTGTGTGTAGGTACAAAGCGGAGCTGGAACTCTGAAATCTCCCAAATTCTATGGATCGAAAAGGTTATAACCTAGTGATGTTGAAGTAGAAGGCCTAGGCTAGTGGACTGGCAAGAAAGTGGGACTGACTGCATATCTACAAACATAAATAATGCGCTGGTCTGGGGCTGGAAGCGCTCGTTTTGAGCGTTTTTCTTCCGTCGGGTCACGTGGTTGCGCTTGTCTAGGCCTAATACCAAGCCAGCAAGGGCGTGGAAGGGTTGCGAGCATCATCGGTTATCGGCGCTCACGAATGAAGAGCGCCCGCTGCACTTCCTGCACATGTGCGGATCCTTCCGCGTTTTTGGCCTGGAAGCGCTAGTTCTAAGCGTTTCTCTTCCGCCGGGTCACATGGCTGCGCTTGTCTGGTCCTATTACCAAACCAGCAAGTGCGTGGGAGAGTTGCGAGCATCATCGGTCATCGGGGCTCGCGAATGAAGAGCATCCTCTGCACTTTATGCACATGTGCGGATCCTTCCGCGTTTTGGGAGAGGAAGCGCTCATTCCGAGCTTTTTTCTTCCGCCGGGTCACGTGGCGCCCTTTTCTGTGCCTATTACCAAACCAGCAAGGGCGTGGGAGGGTTGCAAGCATTATGGTTCATCAGCACTCGCGAATGAAAAGCGCCCGCTGTACTTCCTGCACACGTGCGGATCCTTTCGCCTTTTGGGGGTGGAAGCGCTCGTTCCCAGGGTTTTTCTTCCGCCGGGTCACGTGGCTGCGCTTGTCTGGGCTTATTACCAAGCCAGCAAGGGCGTGGGAGGGTTGCAAGCATCATCGGTCATCGGCGCTCGTGAATGAAGAGCGTCCACTGCACTTCCTGCACATGTGCGGATCCTTCCGCGTTTTGGGTGTGGAAGCGCTTGTTCCGAGCGTTTTTTTTTCTGCCGGGTCACGTGGCTGCACGTGTCTGGGCCTATTACCAAGCCAGCAAGGGCGTGGGAGGGTTGCGAGCATCATCGGTCATCAGCGCTCGCGTAATAACAGCGCGTCCGGTGCACTTCCTGCACATGTGCGGATCCTTCCGCATTTTGGGGCTAGAAGCACTCGTTACGAGCATTTTTCTTCCACATGGTCACGTGGCTGCGCTTGTCTGGGCCTATTACCAAGCCAGCAAGGGCGTGGGAGGGTTGGAGCATCATCGGTCATCGGAGATTTCGAATGAAGAGCGCCAGCTGCACTTCCTGCCAGGCCCTCACAAGTCAGAGCATTTTCTCTGATTTTCCCTAAAAACTCTAATATTTCAGCCTTTTTTTTTAAGTGAACTCTAAAATTTCAGCCTTTTTTTTGGGAAAAACCCACGGAAAATGTGGGTTTCCCTAGTGTGAAGTGGTATTTTTGCCTTTTTTTTGTCTGATTTTCAGAGTAAAGTTGTGTACCAACTCTGATTTTTCAACCTAGCACAAAACCAATATGAGGCCCTGCTTCCTGCACATGTGGGGATCCTTCCGTGTTTTGGGGGTGGAAGCGCTCGTTCCAGCACTTCCGAGCATCGTACAGAGGAGGTTGGTGAGTGTGGTGGAGGGTTGTGTGTGCAGGGGAGGGTGCCACTTCGCGTCCCGGGGTGCCTGTCAGGCAGGGCTTTTTTTTTATTTTCACTACTCGGATTTCCAGAGCTGTTTTCTAGGGAACTCTGAAATTCAGGGTTCATTATGAGCGTTACTCTGATTTGTCAGAGAAAACTTCACTTCTGAAAAATTTACTCTGGGCACCCAGTGTACCTATTTTTCCAACTCTGAGTGCCCTCTCAAGTATTGAACCCAGGCCTTCTGCACTCCTACCAAAAAAATATGGTAAGCATTGTGCTACGCAGATTATTATTAGAGTTGCTTACGGACATCATATATTCTGTTTTACCCACCAATTGGGGGGGGGGGGAGGGAGGGTCGGTCGAAATGCCTATACCCTGTACAGAGAAAAGTACATCCGCCACAAATATACACTGGTCTCTCAGAGTAGCTAAAATCAGAACCCTGACAAATCAGAGAAAACTTATCCTCCAAAAAACTTGCCCAAACACGTCAGAGTGACCCCCTAAAAACCACTCTGATTTTCAGAGAAACAGAGTAATTTAATCTGATAAAAAAAACCCCTGCTGTCAGGCCTTCCCTCACTTGTAGGGTAAAATACCGTATTCTCCCGGACATAACACCCGGGGGTATTATGATAACCACAGGGAAAAAAGGGGGGGGGGTCCTCTCAACGGAAAATCCTATATAATACCCGGGTGGTTATATATGGTATATTTTAATGCAACAGTTTGGGTGTTTCAATGGTCGTTTCAATATCACAGCTTGAGGCGAGAATGTGAGTTTTGGCGAGAATGTGAGTTTCACCTTTCAGGCCAATTGCAGCGGAAGATTCGCCAGCGTGGCGACTTCCTAGAATGTGGGATGGGGGAAATGTCCACTTGCAGCGAAAGATTTGCTAGGGTGGCGACAGCGAGATTGTGGGAGGGGGAAATGTCGGCGGATTCTAAGTGCAAGTACACGCGAAATTTCATCTAGGAAGCGATTCTCGCAATATTCTCCTGTAAGGAATCAGACTCGACAACAGCTATAATAGGAATCCGTAAGAAAAGGGGTGTTATAGAAAATCATCCAAAAAGGGGGGTATAGTAGAAACGAGGTCGCCCATAGCACCCACCCCGCACAAGCTACCCGGGGGTGTACTATCATGGGGGGGTGTTTTGTCCGGGAGATTACGGTAGTGGTTATCTTGAAAATTTTAGTGTAAAAGAACTTTTAGGCTGTTGGTGGCAGGTTTGTTACACTGTCTTCTGTTGATTATGGTTAAATAGACTGACCAATATCACCTCGAAATGGAGCAGCCAGTCAGCAGAGTAAAAGGTCTCTAACACTGCTGATTTACACAGGGCAAACAAAAAATGCACTTAATTAATCAGGGTGGCAAAGCCTTTTTAGTACCGGTATGGATCAGAGCAAGCCCCAACAAGGGGTCAAAAAGGGGTAAAATGGGTATTTTACCCCTTTTTTTGGGACAATGGAATCCGAAAGGTCAAGGCCACTGTGTACCCTGCTCTTGACCCAGCTGCCAGCTAGGTACAGTCAATTCTGTGAGGATGCAGAGTATTCAAACAAAAGTCGTTTCTCAACGGAGGACAAGGATGAGAAGAGAAGGCGCAAGCGGGAGTTGAGTTGGTATAGCAGTTTCCACTGGGTTGCCATCTCACTCTCGCGTAGCTGCCGCACCACAGATGCCTGGGCAAACCACAGAAAAGGTCATGTTTGAGGCATAGGCTCGCTCATATGCACACATGCCCATGGTGTGCATGTGTTTAGGTGCAGTGGCAATCTATGCCATGGTCTGCCTGCAGGCAAAAAGTGCTTAGCATGGCAGTGTGCATGCTTATGTACGAGCGATACATAACACATGGACACAGGTAGTGAGCGTTGGTATTATGCATCTCGCCAATGGTGCATATGTCCATGATGGAAGTCAGAACGATGCATCTGAAGGTGGGATATGTCCCGATGGTGCATGTCACACTATGTCACGAAAATGTGTGACTTGATGATGCATGTCACTGTGATGCGTGCAGCAACGATGCATGTCACTATGATGTGTCACAATAATGCATGTCACGATGATGCATTTTACTATGTCACAATGATGCGGGTCACTACGGTGCATGTCCCAACGATGCATGTCACAATGATACATGTCCCAATGATGCGTGCCCCGATGATGCATGTCACAATGATGCATACAATGATGCATTTCATACGCTTGTAAGATCCATGTATGCCACAGCACGGTGAGCACCTGAAGGTTGTTGCCGATTTGGATTTCCACCTCGGCGCCGAAGGAGAGGTTGGCGAGGGACTGGAAGGGGTCGGAGGTGGGGTCCAGCGAGAGCAGGTTCGGGATCTGCGGCGCGCTCACCAGGCGCCACCGCGCCTGCCCGAACTGCCCGCGGCTCTCGATCTTGGGCATGAGGGTCTCCACCGTGGCGGCCGCCAGCTTCTTGAGCGCCAGCTGCCCGTCCTTCTCCAGCAGCGACTCCGCCAGCTGGCTCTCAAACAGCCGCGCCGCCTCCGCGGGCGACAGCACGTCCTCCTCGCCGCCGCGCGGCAGCGTGGTGAGCACCACGTGGTCCTGCCAGCGGTTGGCCGGGCCCTGGATGCGCATCTGCCAGTCCGCCCCCACCAGCTTCAGGTCCAGCAGCGGATCCATGCCCAGCGCCGCCTCAAAGCGCGCACAGTTGGGGTGGTCGCGGTTCAGCCGCAGCTGCACATGAAACATGCGGCACGGGGGTGTGGGCAGGGCCGGTGAAGTTTGGTCAGGTGCAGAAAAGAGCATGGCGGGGGGCATGAGAAGGGAGGATGGCGAGGGCGCATGAGAAGGGAGGTTGGCGAGTGGGCATGAGAAAGGAGCATGGCGAGTAGGCAGGAGAAGGGAACATGGCAAGGGGGCAGGAGGGGGGAGTGGGACATGGGAGGCAGGAGAGGGGGGTGGGACCTGGGTGGCAACGAGGTTGACTTCGCCGTTCTCAAAGAAGAGCGTGCCGGAGGGGCGCACGAGGCGCGGGTCGGCGAAGCCATTGAGGTGCAGGTCGCCGCGCGTGGCGAGGTTGAGGATGAGCGGGTACACCACGCGCAGCTCCGGCCCCAGCGCCACCTGCAGCCCCCGCAGCCGCACCAGTGCCGCCGGTGCCGATGGCGCAGACGCAAGGTCAGGGGTTGCTGGCAGCGGCACAGGCGGCACTGCTGTAGTGGCAGCAGAGGTGGCGGTGGCAGTGGTGGCAGATAGCGGCGATGATGTGCTCTCTGATGGCCGTGATGGCGGGAAGATATGTGGAGAGGGAAGTGAAGAAGAACACAGTGTATGGGGTCACATGACTGGGGGAAGTTATCGATACGAAAGAGCAAACAAGGCGCAAAGAAAGTGAGCCGGGAGGGTGAAGTGAGCTGAGGTGCGTGGGCCAAAAGAGGACCGGAAGCCACACACAGACCCAGTCGGTAAAAATTGGTGCAGGGGGTGGCGGAAGTGGAGGGAGTGGGAAGGGCGCACCTTGCTGTGGAGCTGACGCCGGCAGCTTCATGGCTGAAGACGCGGCCGTGGAGGACATAGCCGGCAGCCAATCAGGTGCTGCTGACTTGGCAGGAGGGGCAGTGGAGGGAGCAGCAGAGAGTGCAGGTGTCTTGCGGCGGTGGGAGGGCAGCAGCGAGGAGGGCACGGAGGGGGAGGGGGGGGTGTCGGCCCGGTCCTTCTCCTGCGACAGGTAGGCGATGCCACGTGACAGCCGGATGGAGCCTGTCACCTCAGGGGCGGCCAGGCTGCCCATCACACTCACGCCCGCATCTACCAGACCACTGCAACCACACACGCACACACAAATGGGGCACCGTCACACAGGTGTGAAATCCGGTGCTAACAGCCATAGGTTCAAACCCCACGCTGCAAATGCTGACACAGAATCAGTCCAGCAAAAAGCTAGTGACAGATGGGTGAGGGCCCACCTGAACACATTGCGTGCTCGCACTTCAAGACCCTCCGCCGTGATGCTGATTCCCTCCCCAACCTTGCTGTCCTCTGCATGCTCCCCCTCTTCCCTCCCACTCCCCCTCTTCCCCTTGCTTCCCTTCCTCAACCCACCAAGCGTCTCCTCCCCTTCCCCTTCCGCCCCCTCACCCCCCCCCTCGTGTGCGGGCAGGCCGAGGGGCAGCGAGCCCTCGACGCGCAGAGTGCCGCGGCGCCCCACGCGCCCCTCCAGTCCGTCCACCAGCAGCTGCTGCGCTGCGATGCGGATGCGCCCCCCCCCGCCCGTGAGCGGGCGCGGCAGCACGGGGGACGACGCCGTCACACGGCTGAACACCGCCTCCGCCGCCACCTCTGGCCGCGCCAGCGTGCCACTCACCTGCCGCCCGCACAGCGCCGTGGGAGAGAGGCGCGGGAGAGAGAGGCATGGGGAGAGACGTGTGGGTGCAGAGTAATGACAAGTCAAAGCAAGAATGCTGAAGTCACTATAAGACTGGCCCACCTGAGCAGAGATGGCGGCGTGGCCGTGGATCCAGCGGAAGGAGGGGGAGAGCGCGGTGAGCAGCATCATGCCGGCGTCCTGCACACTCGCCTCCACCTGCATCTGCTCCGCCTGCTCCTCGCCCTCAAACGCCCGCTCCAGCTCCACCAGACTGCGCAGCAGCTCCGGCCCCTTCTGCGCGCCATCCCCTTCCCCTTCCCCCTCCTCCTCCTCCTCTTCCTCCTGCTCTTCCTCCTCCTCGACCTTCTCCTCAGCATCGCCACCATCGCCACTCCCCTTGCCCTCGCTCCACAGCCCTCCCTCCTTGTCCAGCCAGTCCCAGTCATGCCACAACCGGCTGCTCTCCCGCGCTGCACCGCCGCCTTCCTTCGTCTGTGTCGCCTCCACACCCGCCTTCTGCTTCTTCTCGCCTGCCTTGCCCCTCCGCTTCTCCTGCACTCTGCCTCCACCAGAAGCTGCCATCCTCCCCCCACCGCCCATGTCTCTGCCTGCGCCCTGCACCTCCAGCCCTGCCTGCACCTCCTGCCCTGCCTGAGCCGCCTGCCCTGCATGGCCCCCCTGCAGCGGCGGCAGCGGCACGTTGCCCTTGATGCGCACCTGGCCCGCCTCCACTGCCGGCTCCAGCACCGCGTGGAACAGCAGCCGCGACGCCCTCGTCAGCGACGCCGCCACCTCCGCCCTGCCCAGCGCCACGCCCGCTATCTCCCCGTCCAGCAGCCGCAGCTGCCACCACAGGGGAGCGGGAGGGGGGGGGGGGGGAGAGGCAGCAGGGGGGTGAGACGAGCACAGACCACTCAGAAAGACGGACAAACAAGGCAGCAAGTGGAGCAAGAACATGCAGAGTGAGCAATGGAGTACTGGTAGGCGCAGCATTTTAGTGTGTGCACCCACCTGCACGTCGCACTGTGGCTGGGCGAAGGAGCCCGACAGGTCGCCCTCCACATGCACCACGCCCCTCACTGCCGCCTGCTGCACACCCACAGGGGGCGGGGGGGGGAACGGCGCACCAGAGGCAGCAGCAGCAGCGGAGGACTGGGAGGGCGCCGCGGCGTGGAGGGCTTGCAGGAAGGTGGGGACGAGGTGGGCGGGGAAGTTGAGTAGCGCAAAGTGCAGGCTGGGCGCGGGGCCAAAGACAGTGCCGTCCGCGTGCACCGTGGCGCCGTCGTCCTTCTGCAGCAGCAGCCGCTCCACCTGCAGCCCCCCCGTGTTGCTGTACCGCCCCCGCGCCTGCAGCTGCTGCAGCTGGTACCTGCCCGCCTCCCAGTCGCTGCCATGCACGTCAAACGACGCTGACGTGTCGCCGTTGCCGCCCCCACTCGCCTCCAGCACGCCGTGCCAGCGCCCCCGCAGGTCCACCAGCCCTGGCAGCGCCTCCGCTGCTGCCCCCCCACCCACGTCCGTACCCGCTGGCTCCCACTCGCGCTCCCTCTTCTCCCGCACATACTGCTCCCACCCACACAGGCGCAGCACGGCAGGGAACAAGGTACAGATCAACGGATGGACGGCAGTGGGGTGAGGGGCAAGGAGTGGAGCGCAAGGAGTGGAAGGAGAAGAATGTACAGCGACATAACAAGGAAAAATCATCTCTGAAGCAGACAGGCGCTAGTCGGTTGAGTGTGGGGGGGTGTGTGGCGGGCAGAGGACACACCTCGAGCTGGTGCTGCAGGGAGTGGGAGGCGAAGCCAACCTCCTCGATGCCGTGCAGGAAGAGCTCCTTGGAGCGCAGCAGCACCGCCGGGTCGTGGCTGCGCGACAGAATGCGCAGCCCCGGCAGCATCTCGCTGACGTCAGCATGAGGCACATCGAGGCGCAAGCGCCAGCGGCCGATGGACGTCATCATGGCCTGCAGCTGCCCCGGCATCGCCCTCTGCCGCCCGCCCCCACCCCACTCCATGTCAGCGCCGCGCTCTGAGGCCGCGGCAGCCGCAGTGGCAGCAGCATCGGGGGTGGGCGTGGAGGCTGAGTGGGAGGAGGTGGTTCTGTCCCTGTCGCGCTCCCTGTCCCACTCCCTCATCCCCGGCAGCACATACTCCCCCTGCACCTCGTACCGGCTGTTTGCCTGCTCCAGCACCGACCGCTCCAGAGTCACCTGCCATCACACACGCACACAGATTCACGATGGGTCAGATGCATCAGATGCACAGGTCATGCAACAAGCACAAAGGACAATACAGTTACGACTAGCAACAGTTACGACTGCGGATGTATGTATGCGTGTAGTGAACATATATCCACCAAAAAAAAAAAAAAAAAAAAAAAAAGGACAGTACAGCACAGCACTCTGCTTTGCCCCTCCCTCCCCCTCTTCCTCACCACGTCGCCGGTCCAGCGGAAGGCAGCATGAAGGGCATCACAGAGCATGCCGCTGAAGCGAGGGCGTCGCACTGCCAGTGAGCCGTGGCCGCGGCGCTTGGCAAAGTTGAGGCGCACGGCAGCACGCTCCACCAGCCCGCGCAGCGACGCCAGCTCCAACTCGTCCAGCGGCAGCGCCCTCACCTCCAGTGCTGCTGTTGCCCCCACCCGCACATGCCCCTCCACACTCATCTGCCCCCGCTGCACCCGCACCGCTCCCCCCGCTACACCCCCTAAACCGCCGCCCGCGCTGCCTGCTGCTGGTGCCGCTGCTCCCACATCGAAGAGCGGGAAGGCCGCCTCGGAGGCCTGCGCCTGTTGCATGTAGGACGACGAGGCATGGGGGATTGTAGGGACAGGTGGCAGCACGCCATTGGCTGAGAGTTGCAGCATGAGCTGCTCATCGCCACGGCCCACGGTGTGCAGGTTGAAGCCGTGGGGACTCACAGCCACGGCGCCTGACAGGTTGGCCCCCAGCAGCAGCTGGTTGAGCTTCAGCCCCTGAATGAGCACACTCCCCTCCAGCCCTGCCAGCCCCGCCTCTGCCTCCTGCCTCGCGCCTCCTCCCCCCCCTGCCTCGTCCACCGCCCCTGGCTGCACCTCACTGCCCCACGGCACGCGTGCAGAGAGCTTGAAGCGCCCCGACAGCCGCAGGTGCCGCAGGGAGGGCTGCGGGGGCGGCACGGGCACGGGGGCGGCGGGCAGCAGCGCGAGGGCGTCGAAGGCCCTCAGGCGCGCCTCAGCCTCCACACGCTCCACGCGCGGGCGCGGAGGCAAAGGGGGCAGCTCCCTCGACAGCACCGGCCACGGGCGAGCGGCACCGCGGGGGGGGCGCGGGGGGGTGGGGCAGGGGGGAGGGGCGGAGACGGAGGCGGAGAGGAGGAGGTCGAGGGCGTGAGCGTGGGTGGCGGCGTGCGCTGTGTCCCTCGTGAGCGCCACCGACCCCCTCATCCCCTCCAATGGGCCCCTCGCCTGCGGTGCCTTCCATGCCGCCTCCACCGTGCTGTGGTGGTGTGGGGTGGGGTGGGGTGGGGTGGGTTGGGGTGGGGTGGGGTAGGGTGGGGGTCAGAATGGGTTGGAGGAAAGGAGGGTGCCGAGAACGGGTGTGCGGTGACAGTGGGAAGCAAGGAGAAGAGAACGAGTGAAAGAGCAGGAGCTTGGGAAACCAGATAGCGGCTCAAGATATATTACAGCAAAGCAGGGCAGGGGGAGGCAGAGCAGGACAGAGGGAGGCATACGGGGAGAGCAGGGAGCCTCTGAAAAAAGCCTCGCCTGAGGCGAGGCCAAGCAGCGAGGGTGGTGCAGCGGTGGCGGGCGGCAGGTAGAATGCGAGCAGGCGGTCCAGCGACACCCCCGCCACCCAGCAGTCCACACTCACTGCCGATGGATCCGCCTCTGCCTGGTGCAAACCATGGGGGGACGACCGAAGGGAGATATGGGGGGAGGGGTGCGAACAGGCAAGCAGGTGTAGGTGGACAGTGCTTGGCCCTGACGGCAAGACAGTTAATCACCCACATTTGCACGCAGCTGCGGACACACCCCACTCACCTGAGGGCACACCCACAGCGTCCCCGCCCCTCGGATCTCCCCCCCTCCCACTGGCACCGCCCGCACCCCATGCAGCTCCGCCACCTGGCGTTTGGGGTGAAGAAATGGGAAGGAGGGGCATGGGAAGGGAAAGGGAAAGAGGGAAGGGGAGGGTGGAAAGATGGGATGCGCACATGGTAGTCGTAATGAATGAAAGGTTGTTGCTTGCCAACATGGTCTCCCTTATGACTCAACGCCCATCCATGCATCAAATGCAGCATGTGCATTGCACCCATGCCCGGCATCACATCACTCACACAGTCATCCGTGTTGAAGGTGAAGTTGGCCGTGGCCGCCGTGACAGGCACGCGGTCATACGCCCCCACCGCCCCCTCCCCCCGCCACGCCTCCACCGCCCCCGCTGCATCCGACCCCGCCACCGCAGCAACGGCTGCATCCACGTCAGCAGGCTCTGCTGCCAGCTCAGCAGTGCCTTCAAAGATCGGCGCATCGAGAGGCCCGCGGCAGAAGAGCAGTCCCTGCAGGCTCCCTGCCAGCTGGCAGAAGGTTATTGGGGAGCGAGGGTTGGTGTTGGTGTCAGAATGAGGGCAGACGCACTGCATGCTTCTTGTGGTGGTTGATTGAAGTATTTGAAAAAAAAAAGGTCTGATTATCATTGAACATGGTGTGCGCGCACACGCACATGCAGCACATACCGGGTACGGCAGGGGCTTAGCGTTGAGCGTCTTCATCAGCAGATTCGCCTCCACCGGTTGAACCTGCACCACGTGACACACCCACCACGCAAGGTCGTACGTGAGCCGAGAAGAGCACAGAGCAGCATTGAATGCAGCAGAGGGAACATGGGAGCACACGAGGGTGGGGGCGCACGAGGGTGGGGGCGCACGAGGGTGGGGGCGCACGAGGGTGGGGGCGCATGTGAGGGTGGGAGCGAGGGAGCACCTGGGCTGTGATGCGGTACTGCCCCCCGGCGCCCTGGTTGAGGTCCATGTCCCCCGACGCCCTCAGTGGCACGTGGCCGTACCGCCCCTCCACCCCGTGCAGGAACAGCCGTTGCCCCTCCAGCACCACCGCCCCGCTCACTCCCTGCTCGCCCGAGGAAGCACGGCAGCAGCGCACAGGCGGAGAGGGGACGACACGGCAGAGAGAGGACGTGGGAAACGCTCATGTGAAGAAGTACAGTGTGAGTGTGTGGATGGTACGAGTGTGTGGCTGGTGTGAGTGTTTGTAGGCTTACAGTGAACGCACAGGGGGACTCCCAGATTTGGAAGGCGAGGTCTCTGATGTTCACCCTGCCCTTGAAGTTGGGGAATGAATCCCCCGCGCCCATCCACAGCTGCACCTGCTCCCTCTCCATCACAACCCCCCGGTCCCCACGGACACACATTCACAAGCGCGTGTACGCATGCATGCACATGGCCACGAATGGCAGCAAGACATGGAGTGAGCTGAGGAGCACGGTGGGGTCGGCAGTGCATCATGCGAGACAAGTGATTGAGAGGTGCTGGGGTGCGCTGCGGAAGAGCGAGGTAGGTCTCTCTAGCAGCAAGAGCAGTGAAGCAGCAGGGAGCAGAAGGGAGCAGCAGCGACCAGCAGTGAGCAGCATAGAGCAGAGAGGCCAGTTCATGAATGTTGAGGTGCTGTGAAGCAATGGAGAGAGCAGAGGCACTGACCTGCCCGTCGGCCCTCCCGCCGTACCAATCCAAGGGGATCTCCAGCAGCCGCTCCATCACCTGCCATGACCGCGTACGTAGGGCATGCCGATGGGGAAGGGGAAGGGGAAGGGAAGGGGAAGGGAAGGGGAAGGGGACGGGGAAGGGGAAGGGGAAGGGTAATACTGTGACACGAGAGGCATGAGACGTAGGGAAGTGAAAACAAGGACTATGGCAAGCATTGCGCATGGAGCATATGCACCTGTTGCATACATGCGTGCATGGCAAGCCTGGCATGCATAACACGCCTGGCTGGCACATGAAACATGGCACTTGGAACATGACTGGCTGCTGGGCACAGCAGATGCAGGTGAGATAATGCAGCAACGCAGATGAGCACGCACAGGTGCAAAGAGGTTGTGTGCGGTGACAGTGACAGCCCACTCGTGCTTGTCCTCGTCCACATCCACGGCCACTCGCAGCAGCCCGCCTCCCCCGTCACGTGCTCCCCCCTCTGCTCCCCCCTCCGCCTCCTTCCGCCCTGCCGCTGCACCGCCAGGCATCATGTGGAAAGGCGAGGAGAAGCGCTTGCTTTTGCCACTGCTACCGGGGGGCTGGGGGGACGAGGAGGAGGAGGAGGAGGAAGAAGAAGAGGCCGTGGTGGTGGGGGAAGGGGTGGTGGGCGAGGGGGCAGGGGAGAAGTTGTGGGAGGGGCGGAGGGAGCCGTGGGCGTCGACCTTGATGCGCTTGTACGAGTGGGGCAGCGCGGGGAAGGTCACATGCGCGTCTATGTGCTCCACCACCCTGCCATGCATGCATACATGTGTGAGTTCCGCACCCACCCGGAAAACAATGCACGCATGTGGTAGATGTGAAGAAGCCACATGCACATGGAAGCAAGCAGCACGGCAAGGTGTGGAGGGGAAATTTTGAGTCACCCCTCACCTATCTCACCACGCCCCTAAACTCATGTCATCTCACCGCACCCCTAACCTCTTGTCATGTCACCGCGCCCCTAACCTCTTGTCATCTCACCGCACCCCTAACCTCTTGTCATCTCACCGCGCCCCTGACCTCTTGTCATCTCACCGCGCCCCTAACCTCTTGTCATCTCACCGCACCCCTAACCTCTTGTCATCTCACCGCGCCCCTAACCTCTTGTCATCTCACCGCGCCCCTAACCTCTTGTCATCTCACCGCGCCCCTAACCTCTTGTCATCTCACCGCGCCCCTAACCTCTTGTCATCTCACCGCGCCCCTGACCTCTTGTCATCTCACCGCGCCCCTAACCTCTTGTCATCTCACCGCACCCCTAACCTCTCGTCATCTCACCGTGCCCCTAACCTCTTGTCATCTCACCGCGCCCCTGACCTCTTGTCATCTCACCGCGCCCCTAACCTCTTGTCATCTCACCGCGCCCCTAACCTCTTGTCATCTCACCGTGCCCCTAACCTCTTGTCATCTCACCGTGCCCCTAACCTCTTGTCATCTCACCGTGCCCCACAGCTCATCTCACCGTGGCTCCTGGTCGCCGTAAGCGAGGAGCATGAGGGTGCCGCCATGCACCCTCACTCCCTCCATGCACGGCACCAACCGTCCTCCACCTCCCTCTGCTGCCTCCTCGCCCTGCCTCCCTCCACTTCCCCCTCCTTCACCCGCCACTGCTGCTGCTGATGGTGCTGCAGTGCCTTCATCATGAGCAGCCCTTCCCCCTCTGCCATGAGTTTCCTTCTCCCTCCCCTCGCTGCCATCTCCTCTCCCCCCCTGCGCCTCTGCCCCCCCTCGCCCATATGCTGGGTGCAGCTTGCGCAGTGCCCACTCACGCGCACACACAGGCGCCGGCAACCCTGCCTTCGACATGCGGGCGGGCGATGGCAGGGGCTGCAGGGGCTGTGGGGAGGGAGGCGGGGGGAAGAGGGAGGAAGGAATTGGGGAGGGATAGGGAAAGGATTGGGAATGGGTTGAATACGGGATGGGCGGTGTGAGGGATGGCAGCGATCGGGGGTGCTTACCTCAGCTGCACTCTGAGGTGCCCGCTCCACCGGTACCGCCACCTCTGCCTGCTGCTGCCTCTGCTCCTGCTGCCACTGCTGTGAATCCGCCGCGCTCACTTGTGGCGGTGCCTGCCCGCTGTGCTGCTGTGCCTGCGCCTGCTGCTGCTGCGCGGGGGAAGGACGGCCAGCAGCAAGAGGAAGGGCCGTGGCACGGCCAGTGGCAGCACCAGCAGTGCATGAGGCAAGCCCCCTGTCTGTAGCCTCCTCCCTCCTTGCTGCTCCGCCCCACGCCCCTTGTGCCTCCACCACCTCTCTCGTTCCACTCCCTCTCCCCTCCACCTCTTGCTCCACATCCACTCCTATTCTCTCGCCCCGGCCCCCCACCTGACCCCCCACCTGCCCTGCCACCTGCCCCTCCACGAGCCCCATCCCCACCGGGGCAGCCATGCGTTGCCGGATGGCGAGCGCCAGAGCATCTCTCAGCGCCGACTCGCTGCCCTCCCCCTCGCCTGCACATCTGTCGCCCTCGCACCACTTCACTTCACCCACGCCACTTGCTTCACTCATCCTAGCCTCACTCCCTCTCACTTCAACCCCTCTTGTGTCACTCTCTCTCCCACCAACTGCTGCTACTGTTACTTCCGTGCTCATGCTACCGTCTCCTCCCCTCCTCGAAAGCCCATCACCATTCGCTCCCACACTAACACCCCCACTCTCCATGTGCCCCGACCGCCCCTCACCGCCCGCCATGTGACCTTCCCGCCCCTTGCCACTCTCACGAGCCATCCTCTCCCCTCCCACCGTGCCATCACCGCTCCATCCCCGGCCCCCACCCCCTTCGCTCCCACTGCCCCCACTGTGCTGTGTGGGCATTGGGGCGGGGGCAGGGGGCGGGCGTGGGGGGGGCATGAGGTGGGGCGGCAGGGAGGAGAGGTGGGCCAGGGCCGCCGATGCAGAGAGGGAGAGCAGGTGCTCCTGGGCAGAGAGAGGGGGCGTGGGGGGTGCAGAGGGTGTTGAGGGCGGGGCACTGGGGGCTGGAGCAGTGGCGGAGAGGGGGTGCTGGTCGTACCCGTGCCACCCCAGCGCCACCACTGCTGCTCGCAGCACGTTGCTCACTGCCCTCTCCGCCGCCCGCTGCTGCTCCTCCACCCACTCCCACTCGACCCTCGGCCCACCCCCACCCACCTCCGTGGCCCCAACTACTCTCCCTTCCCCCTTGGCACCCGCCTCGCCCTCCCCTCCCCTCCCCCCCAGTCCCTGCGCGCCCCCCTCCCCTCGGTACTCAATCTGTGCCCCTCGCAGTGCCAGCCTGTCCCTTTCCTCCGCTGCTGCCACCGAGGCTGCGTCCCGAGCCTGGCGTTGCAGGGAGGCTCGGGCGGAGAGAGGAGGGATGGAGGAGGAGGGGGAGGCGGGGGCGTCCATGTCTGCGGGGATGCCGAGCCACGTCCAGTCGGGCTGCTGAGCCACCACCACTGTGGCGCGCTGCACCTGCGCCCCCACCACCACCCGCCCCTGCGCCACCGACGCCACCGGGTGCAGCTGAGGGGGGCGGGCGGTAGAGAAGGGAGAGGGGAGCGAGGGGGGCTGAAATTGGTAGAAAGCAGCGGATGAATTGAAAGGGCAGGGGCGTCTGTGTGGATGAATGTGCAGGTGCGAGTGGTGACCAGGCCACAGGCACACACATGCTGTGTGCAGCACAGTGGCTGTGCAGCACTCACCCGCACTTGCACGGCGTCTGCATGGGCGCACGAGAACTCAGAGGCAGCAGGGCCGATGGTCACAGGTCCCACGCTCACAGCCCACGGCAGCAGCTGCTGCACGCGCCCCACTGCCACCTGCCTGCCTGCCTGTGCACTCGCTGCCGCCTCCACCACGGGCAGCACGCGCGCCTGCACGTACTGCCGCGCCCTCTGCTGCGCGTACGCCCCCCCGCCCCACAGCAGCGCCGCTGCCAGCGCCCACGCCACCCGCCGCCACCCCACGCCCCGCTCGCGCCGCCGCCGCCGCCTCGTGGCCGCCAGGGGCGGGGTGGGGGTGGGGTTGGGGGGTGCTGCAGCCGCGGGGGATGGGGGGGCGGGGGACGCTGCGGCTCCCCGGCGGGACGGGTCAGACGCAGCGGGGGTCCTTTGGGAGCGGGAAGAGGGGCTGGGGGAAGATTGGCGCGGAGGGGGCGGGGTGGGCGGAAGGGCAGGGGAGGCGCTTCCGTTGAGGCTTTCTGGTGGTGGGGACGGCTTGCTGCCGCCGCTGCCACTCGACCTGCCTGACCTTCCGCCACCACCGCTGCCGCCGCCATTATTACCGCTCCCCCCAGTACTGTTTCCGCCGTCACTGCCCCCCCCACCGCCTCCGCCACTGTCAGCGCCACCAGCGCCGCCAGAACTGCCAGCCCCCGCGCCAGCCGCCGGCCCGTCTGCGCTGCCGTCGCCGCCCCGCTTCACCCTCCCGCACACCACGCGCCCATTGCCCCTGCGCCCTCCGCCGCGGCCGTTGGGTGCAACGGCGGGGCGCGGAAGGAGGAGCGCGGAATGGCGGGTGAAGGGGGAGGGCGCGAGTGGTGGAGTTGAGGTGCGCGCGGGAAGTGGGCGCGCGCTGGAGGAGCCTGAAAGCCACGCGCTGCTGGAGCTGCTGAGACGGGCAGCGGAGGAGGCGGGGAAGGGGGAGAGTGACGCGCCGCTCGGCATGCGACGCGGCGAGGGCGCCCCTAAACGGTCTAATTGGCGACTGGACTCCACGGGTCCAATCCGCGCGCTTGCGTGGGCGGCGGAGGACGACGTGGCGGACACGCGCGGAATGGAGGGGGAAGGAGGGCGCAAGAGGGGCGCGGCGCGAGTAGGCAGCGTGGGCTGGCGGAGAAGAGGCGCCGCGTGGGAGGCGCGGGGCGGCAGCGCGGCATGTGAGGGAGCGGGGACAGGGGCGCGCTGGGGTGGTGGGAGGGCGAGCGGGAGCGCGACGGGCATAGTGGTAACATGCGGGCGCGCGAGGTGCGAGGCCGCAAGGGTGGAGATGCGCGCACACGGGCGCGGCAGCAATGGCAGTGCGGCAGGCAGAACGGGAAGCTGTGATCAGGTCCGTCCGCCTCTCTGCCCTGTGCGCGGTTCGACTGCGAGGCAATGAACTGAAGCTGTTTTCGAGATACCCTGTGCCTGCTGCTGCATGTACCTGTACGCTGTATTGCACACAATACTTTGATTGGAGAGGAGGGTACGGCAACATTCATTCCGGTTAACCAGGGCTCAGTCTGTGAGAAACAAAACGTGAAGAAATGGAAGAAACGTTTTCATTCATGCCTTTCAGATACTAAACAAACCTGTGCAAAGAATCACTGTTTTATCAGGAACAACCCAAGCACACCCTATGTCCAAGCTCTAAGTGGTGCTTCTCTTTCACTACAAGTGCCGGCATGGCCGAGGCAAGGGAAGTGCCCTAAGAATTTGCCGGCGCAACCATCAGGCCCTGCATTGCACGCACCGCCTCATGCCTCATGGCGCAACAAGCCTGGAGACCCTGATGCGGTGCGCTGTGGTGTGGTGTGGTGTGGTCAGTCCCAGGCGAGGGCGAGCAGGGAGTTGGCAAGGCCGGCATCGGCGATGGTGGTGGGCGAGGAGAGGTCGAGAGGAGCGGACCCGGGCAGCGCCTGTGACAAACGGAAGGGCCTCCCTGCTGCCGCCTCTGGCACCTGCTGCCGACACCATGCCCTCAGCAGCTGGGGGAGTGGGGAGTGGGGCGAGGGAGAACAAGGGAGTGAGTGGGAGAGCAAGGGGACAGGCATGGCAGGAAGGTGATGTGGGACAGTGCAGTGGAATGGGAAGGGTGGCAGGCAGGCTGTGTTACACAACGCGAGCAGCACCTGGAGAGAGTGCGAGGAGAGGAACCGCCGCTGCAGTCGACTGCCATCCGGGCAGCGAATGGCGATGCGACAGCTGGCAGGAGTGCCCACTGCTGGCTCCTCTGGTAACTCAACCTCCTCCTCTGCTGCCCCTCTTGCCAACGTCCCCTGCTGTGCCTGCTCCCCTTGTGCCGCATGCAAGGCGTCATCCCTGCCTGCCCCTGCGGCCCCACCCTGCTCCCTCCCATCTGCCTCGCCTCTCCGTCCCTCGGTATCCCCCCCCACCTCCTCTGTGTGCCCCTCCAGGGAGGCGGCCAGTGCCAGGCGCAGCTGCTCCTCCTCGTCCTCCTCGCCGCTCCCCACTGCCCCCGCGCCCTCTGCCTCCCCCTCCCCTCCCGTCGCCACGTCGCGCTGCTTTTTGGGCGGCCGTACCTCCCCCCCCACCCCGGGTGCGCCCCCCACGGGGCCACGGTCGATGAACGGCATCAGGTCCTGCCAGCCGTGCACCGCACACCCACACACGCACGCACGCACGAAGGCAGGCAGGCACAAACGCAGGCAGGACGGAATCCACGAGGCAGGTGAGGAGGAATGCAAAGAGAGGATATGAACAGCAGAAGGGCACACTCGTGGCTGTGAAGCACAAGGCACAATCTACTCTCACCTCCTCTCCCCTCCCAATTCCCCGTTTGCCCTTCCCCCATTCTTCCCCCCCCACCTCGAGCAGCTGGTCCGCAGAGAGCGCGCCCTGCCAGCAGCGCTTGCGCTGGCCCGTGGAGGGGTGCAGCACCATCACCACGGGCAGCGCCTCCACCTGGTAGTACCCGCACACCTTCGCCCCCTCCGCTGCCGCCGCGTCCACCTGCCTCGCCTCCCCCACCCCCACGCAGCACGCAAGGAGAGGGCGGACGGAGCATGGGAATTACAGACAGCGGAGGCCAGTCAGTGACGGGTGGGGTGGGCACGGTATGGGTGGTGTGGTGGGACGGGCGAGGTGAGGCAAGTGGTGCGTGTGAGTGCCGTGACAGGGGACGGGCGAATCATCTGTGCCTCACACAATGGCCTGGCAGAACCACCTGTCATAAACACATGGGAAATGCACCACGTCACAAGGAGGCGCGGGAGGAGGAGCAGGAAGGGGAGAGGGAGGGGAGGGGAAGGGGGAGAGGGAGCACCTGCCAGAGGAGGAAGTAGGTGGAGATGGTCTCCTTGACAGCTGGCACGGCCCACACGTCCCGGTTCAGCATGTGCGACGCGAACTCCCCCGTCGACTGCACGTTCACCAGCAGCCACTTGCCCTCTGCCCCCGCCCGCTGCTTCGCCTGCACCCTCGCATTCACCCGTACATCCATGCACCCATGCACCCATGCACCCATGCATGCAGCACCCATGCATGCAGGCATCCACGCATGCACCCATGCACAGCAATGGGCAGGCGCAACAGCAGTGGGCACAGCGTATAAGACGGTGCTGTAGGACGTGTGGGCGCATGGGGCAGGCATGTGGGCGCATGGGGCTGGCATGTGGGCGCATGGGGCTGGCATGTGGGCGCATGGGGCAGGGCAATTGTCGCTGGACCCATCTCCACCCCACCTGGTCGAAGGAACCTGCAAAGAGGATGTCATAGGGCGGCTCAAACAACGATGCCAGCGATGCCTGCCGCGCCGCTCCCCCTTCTCCGCCCTGCTGCCCCTCTCCCCGCGCTCTCGCCCTCGTGCCTGCCTCGCCGCCAAAGTCCCGAAACCCATCCACCACCACCGGCACACTGGGCCCTCCAGGCGTCCTCCCGGCAGCGCTGGGGGGCGAAGGGCCAGCGGCGAGGGGCGAGGGGGGGAAATGGAAGGGGAAGGAGGGAGGGGGAGGGGGAGAGGGTGGGGGGAGTGCAGGATGTGATGGGTGAGAAAGGACGACGGCAACGAGGAGGCAGCGCAGGGAGCAAGGCGTGATGGCACAGCATGGAAGTGTGCTGTGCACCACTGCACAGACAGCACCGCACAGCTCAGTGCAGGTGACGGGAAACGCGAGCAGGGAGAGAGCAGCATACGCACGCAGCAGAGGGGCGGTTGAGCGCGTATGCATCCCCATATAGCGCCTCCCGCCTCACTGGCAGCGGCGCCCGCACCACCTCCTCCCCGCCCCCCATGCTGCCGCCCATACCCCCTCCTCCTGCTGCTACTGCTGCTGCTGCTGCTGCTGGCGGGGGTGGCGGGGACGAGGAGCGAGGCGGGGGAGTGGCGTCACGTGACCTGGCGGATGCACGGGTGGGGGGATGCACGGGTGGGGGGATGCACGGGTGGGGGGATGCACGGGTGGGGGGATGCACGGGTGGGGGGATGCACGGGTGGGGGGATGCACGGGTGGGGGGATGCACGGGTGGGGGGATGCACGGGTGGGGGGATGCACGGGTGAGGGGATGTAGTGGTGGGGGGATGTAGTGGTGGGGGGATGTAGTGGTGGGGGGATGTAGTGGTGGGGGGATGTAGTGGTGGGGGGATGTAGTGGTGGGGGGATGTAGTGGTGGGGGGATACAGTGGTGGGGGGATGCAGTGGTGGGGGGATACAGTGGTGGGGGGATGCAGTGGTGGGGGGATGCCAGAACGTTGAAGGCGGAGGAAGCGGAAAAGAAAAGGTGAACAGGGGATAGGAGGGCCAGGGGTGGCGGGAAAAGGATCGGGAAACCTCGGGTGGGCAGAAAAGCAGTACCCGCTGCACTCCCAGCACCCACCCCCTACCCGTTGCCTGCACCTCCCGCAGGCCCCACGGCGCTGCCCCCATGCGCGTCAGTCTGCTGCGCGCCTGCGGCCTCCGCGCCCCCCCCAAAGAACAGCTGCACCGCCTCCTCCAGTTGCCAGTTCGTCGCCTGCACGCACGCAGTCGCACAGACGCAAGCAGCGGTTGAGAGCGGTGCATGGCGCGCGGTCACGGAGAGCGACGGGACTCGAGGAGCGCGCAGGCACGCGCGAGGCGGCGGCAACGAAACTAAGACACACGAGCACACGCACAGTGCCAGGGGCATGGCGCGTGAGGCAGCACGTGGCGCGGCACGTGGCGCTGCACGTGGCGCGCGGGGCCCCGCCCACCTGCAGCATCTGCAGCGCGACGGCGTCGTCGCTGCCGGTGAAGTCGATGAAACTCGCCACCAGCGGCCCCACGTCCGGCTCCGCCATGCCGCCGCGCTCCCCCCTCCGCGCGCCCACCGCACCCTGCACCGCGCGCTACACCGCGCCCTAAACAACCGCGACCTACACCGCGCCCCACACGCGCGAGCTTGCGGAGAGCTGATGCGCGCGAGGAGATTGGCTGGACGGGGTGTGGCGGAGAGGTTGAGCCGTGGTGATGCGACTGCGAGCAGAGCGACAACAGCAAGCCTGCACACACGTGGTGGTGGTGGGCTTCAGGTGGTGCCTGCCTTATGTGACTTGTCTGTCGGGACGAAATTCGATGGATGTGTATCTATTCATCCGTGTACGTCGATAAATGGTGAACGTCATAACGAAGCACGCAGCACCGATGAGATCTCCACTGGGTTGGAGGCAGCAAAAAGTGAGGATGAGGAGCATTCCAAGTGGACTGGCGAATCTGGCTTGCGACAGGTAACTGCTGGTGGCGAACACACTTGCAACAAAACCTCGAGAGTTTCGGTGTGTGCTCAGCTGGGCACTGTTCGCGTGGATTGGTGGATCTCTCCTCCCCGCCCTCTCCCTCCATCCGCATTCCCCAGCCCGCTTTCCTCGCGCGCCCTGCCACTCCGACAGCCACGGGCCACGACTCTCGCGCATCACTGCGCGCCGCATGCTCCTCCATGCTTCTGCCGCCCACCCCTCGCAGCGCGGCACGAGGCTGACCGTTGCGCGTCTTCCGCGGGGCTCTGCGTTCTCAGCTCTGCGCGTTCCTCCCCAGTAGTTCCCCCCGCATGGCGCTCTTAGCGCGCAAACCGCTGTTCCTCGCCTCCCCTTCCCCTTCCCCCACAGCCTCCAACACTCGCATTCCCGCTCCCCGGCCCTCGCTCCTCCGCCAACACCGCCTAAGACTGCGGATATGCGTCGCCGCGTCGTCGTCATCGTCGCCTGGCGACCAGAAGGTCGCAGAGCAGGACGAGTCGAGTCTGCCGCCCAAGGAGAGTGAAGTGCTCAGTCTCAAGGTGCGCCCTGCGCCTTGCGCCCTGCGCCCTGCCTCCGCGCGCGCGGCTGCCGCGGAATTATGCCTGCTCCGCTTTTGTCATGCGTCCGCTCCTCTCGCAAGTGGCGCGCTCTGTGCCGCATTGCCGATCACGTTAGGGCGAGGCGATAGCGCACTATCGTGGCGTGCTCCTAGACCATCTCGCGTCGCCGAATGCACAGCGCCGCGATCGCGTGTTCCATCGCGCCCAACCCTAACGCCGCGCGGGCCCACGCGCAGAGCAATGCGTGCCACCTTGCCTGCCTAATCTGCACCTCCCACGCTCACTCCGACCCCCGTTCCCTAGAACCACCGCTTTCCTCCCCAAACGCCTGCTCTCAACCCCCTGCCCTCTCCCGCGCTTCCCTCCATTCCTCCTCTGCCGCCCCGCTCCCCCCACCTTCTTCCGCCCCACTCTTTGTCAACCGCAGCGCGAGTCGGAGCAAACACCTCAACCGCCCCCTCCGCGCGACACCAGCGCTTCCGACTCCCCTCGTTCGCGGGGCCGTGGTGGCGCGGGCAGGCGGCGGGAGCGCGCGTCGGTGGGGGAGGTGGTGCGGGGCGCCGTGCGCGCAGTGGAGGACGCGCCCGTCGAGACCGTCGGCGCCGCCGCCGCCGCCTCAGGTGCGCCTTTTGTGTGTTCAGGTAGGGTCCTTGCAACAGGGCCAGGAGGGCTCGCCAATAAACCACCTGAGGGTGCATTGCACTTCCCGCTCTTGCCTGCCCTCAATCGCGCCCGCACATTCTCAACCCCCACCACCGGCGCCTGCACTCATCCCACTCTACATTCCCCTCCCTCCTTCTCTGCCCTCTGTGCTTGACGAGAAATCGGCAGGGCTGGCGGTGCTGGGGGTGGTGTTCGCGACGTCGCTGCTGGGATCGCTGGACTCGGTGCCTTTGGCCCCTGAGTTCATGCAGACCATCGGTGTCGTCTACTGCGCCCTCGTCGCCAGGTGCCCTCCCCTGCCCATTCCCCTTCCCCGTCCCCGTCCCCTTCCCCTTCCCGTTCCCCTTCCCCTTCCCCTTCCCCTTCCATTCCCCCCTCCCCCTCCCCTTCCCCCTCGTATTCCCTATCCCCTTTCCCTTCCCCGTCACCCTTTTCATCTATACCCTTTCACAAAGCTTTCTTCCATCTGCATGTGCCCTACCCCGCCCCCCACTTCCCACTCTCCCCCCCCCCCCCCCCCCTCCCCCCCCGGGTGGCCACGGCAGGCAGTATTTCACCAAGAGGAAGATCGCAGTGGCGCCCACGCCCCTCACGGCCATCCAGACGCTCTTCCCCACCACCACCACCGCTGACGCTGACGCCGATGCTGACCCAGAGGCCGCTGCCTCCCGCATTCCTGAGGTGAGAGGCCCAAATGCTGCTGTGATGCTCTGCCGCTTGCTGCATGCATGCAGGGGGAGCTGGTGCAGTGAGCCACAAGGTACCTCCGCCTTTAGAAACGGATCTCCCCCAGCTCTATCCCATCGTCACTCTTCTGCTTTCCTCTCCCCCAGCCGTTTCCCTCGCTGTGCCCCATCTCAATCCCTGTTTTTCCCCGCTTCTCCCCTCCCCTCCACCCGTGCACCCTCCCTCTCCCCTGGGGCTGCGCGGGGGCGGGCAGGGCATGGGCGAGGGCGTGCAGGGGCGGCTTCGGGCGCTGGAGGCGGAGAGGGACGTGGCGGTGGCGGCGGCGGGGGAGATGCGGCGCGCGGGGCAGGAGATGGCACGCGTGGTGGCGGAGAAGGAGGCGCTGGAGGCCGTGGCGCTGCAGCTCGCGGATGAGAGAGACTCCGCCATCGCTGAGGTGCGGGCAGTGTGGGGCATGCTGGGGAGACATGGGACGCATGTGCGTGTCTGCACTGTGCTTCCATGCCATGTGTGGCATGTGTTTCCATGCAATGTTCATCCCCCAGAGCTACTGTCTCACCAGTACCCACGTGTTGGGATTACTTGGCATGGTGCCATCCGTTGACATGGTGTGGATGGTGGTCATGCATGCATGGGGCATGCATGGGGCATGCATGGGGCAGGTGACGGCACTGAAGACAGCGGTGAACGCGATGACGGAGCGCATGAGGGCGATAGAGGCCATGCTGGCGTCCGAGGTGCAGCGCCTGCAGGAGCAGAACCTCGCCCTCGAGACCGTTGCCCTGCAGCTGGCTGACGAGCGCGATTCCGCCATCAAACAGGTGCGCTGCTCTGCTGCCCCACCCCACCCAACCCCCTCCGTCACCTCTGCATTCTCCTTCACGTCCCGCCATCATCTCTCACTGCGTCCTGCCCTGCTAATCGTGTTCACACTCCACATGTCCTGTGCGTGCGTGCGTTTGCATGGTGTGTGGGCGGTGAGTGCACCAGGCATCAGAGCTGAGGTCGGCGTTTGAGGCGCAGAGGGAGGAGGACAAGCGGGTGTTGGAGATGCTGGCGGCGCAGCTGATAGAGGAGCGCAACGCGGCGGTGAAGGAGGTGCAGGAGCTGAAGCAGGTCGTGGCGGGGCTGGCGGAGGCCACAGGCGCGGGCAGCGGGCTCACCAGCGAGATGGAGGCGTTCATCCGCAGCCGCGTGCGCGCTGTCAGGGCCCAGTTCGTTGACATCTCCAAGCCCTACTCGCAGCAGGTGAGTTGACATCTCCAAGCCCTACTCGCAGCATGTGAATTGACATTTCCAAGCCCTACTCGCAGCAGGTGAGTTGAACACGGGAGCAGGCATTTACATGCTCGCTTGCATGTGCACTCATCCATGCTGCATGCCACGGCCTGTGACCTTTACATCCCACCTCCACCAACCTGGCATTCTGAAATTAATCCCAAATCCACTGTGTCTTCCCTGCTGTATGCATGTGCCATGTGTGCTGTCTGTGTGCCATGTGCCACGTGTATGGCACCCAGGAGGAGGCGGTGAATGCGTTTGTGGCGCATCTGGTGGACGAGTTCGGCGCCCCCAGGGAGTGGACGCACCGCTACATCCGCCAGTTCCTCGACGCCGCCTCTGACGGCCACGCCATCGCCCTCAACGGCCCCTCGCCGCCCTCCGACCGCTTCAACTGACTGCTGCCTTCCCTCGCTCCTCCGCACCTCAGCGTTACCCCGTGTTTATTCTCGCTTGAATAAAGCTCTGCATGCTTGCCCCCTGCTGCATCTCTGTCGGTTGCCTGCCTGCTGCTCCTCTTGCTTGTGCTGCCTCGAGTTGTTGAAGTGTTGAAGGCATGTAGCCCAATGGGTGGCGTGCTCATTGCTCACACAGTGGTGCATGGCACTTTGGATGGCACTCAGTATTAAGAATGTCATTGCTTACGCCACACCACGCGCTGTTACTCAACGCTGAGTAGGTACCCAAGAGCACCTAGAGGAGGACAGCTGCTTGACGGCCATCCAGTGTTGCTTGGGAGGAGGCTGTGTGGATCAATCTGCTTCTCGTGCCTTATACTGGTAGACATTTTTCAGGCAGCTTGCCACAGATATAGTCACACCAGTAGCAGCAACATTTGTTAGCATTTATTGCACATGTACTGCAAGGTATATACATTTGTGACGACATTACTATTGCAGGAGTGGAACACGTGCAGCAGAAACACAAATCATATCAAACACATAACATTTTTGTATCTAGTTTTTCCTAATTCTGGCTCCAGGAGATGGCGTGGTGATCGTGGCCACAGTGCCCAGAGCACAGACTTTTCAGCACATGTGAATAGCCACATGCACTTGGCTCTCCCTGATCACTGTAATGCATTCCCTTCGGTTTGGCAGTGTGGGGTCTGCCAGCACCACAGGTCCAACCAGTAAATAACTGCCCACAGGAGTACCCCAGTTGTTACCCCTCCCTGCTGCCCGGCCTCACTCGCTTCTCCCCCCGTCCACCCCACTCCCCGGCTCCACAAGTGGGTGCGCCTCCTCTGCTTGCCCTCCCTCAAGGGGAATGGCAGAGGCGCTGTGGTTTTGGGGCAGGAGGGGGGAGGCGTCGAGGGGGATGGCGGAGGCAGAGGAGGGGGCAGAGGCGGGTATGGGGCGGGATGGAGGGGCGGAGGGGTTGGAGGGGGCAGCAGCAGCTGCAGCAGAGAGTGAGGCCACCAGCGCTGCGAGTGATGACTCCTGCGGCTGTCGTGATGATGTGGAGGGTGGGGTGGCACTTGCTGCTGCTGCTGATGATGATGATGATGGTGTTGCTGCCTCTGTGCTGCTTCTGCGCACGGGTGTACAGGCAGTGGCAGCAGCAGCGGTGCCTGCAGGGTGTCCTGCATGGGCCTCTGACGGCCGCCTCGGCCTCGTCTGCATCTGCAGTGGGGCAGGTGGGCGATGGCAGGACGGGTAGTGGGGAATGGGGAGAGCGGTGATGAGCAATGGAGAGGATCGATGGTCATTCAAGCGAGCGACAATGAGGAAGGGAGGAAATAGGTTGCTCATCCATAGATATGCCTGGTAGAGGGAGGGAAAGTAGCAGTTGAGAGAAAGCTTAAAGAATGTCGGCTTGGAAGGAAGGATGGAAAGGAGGTGACTGACCTTGTTGCCGAACACACTGAGCTGCATGGCTCGCTCCATCAGCTGCCGATCCACCGCCACACGGTCCGCCAGCATGGCAGCCAGCTCACTGCCACGTGGCATCGTCATCTCACTGTCCTCCACGTCACCAACCTCGCCAGCCGCCACAGCCCCTCCGCCCCCCATCATGCTGCCCAGCACCCCGCCCAGCCTGCTCCCCGGGTGCCCCCCTGCAGCTCCCCCAGCGCCATGAGCACGCGCATCAGCGCCCGCCCGCCCCCTGAGCCGAGCAGTAATGAACCCGTCATCATCGTCGTCGCCTTCCGCGCCCCCCTCCAGCTGCCACCGCAGCAGCGTCGCCGCGTCGTGCGCAGGTGCACTGCGGTGCCCATGGAAGGCGCTGGTGGGGGGAGACAGTGGAGGGGAAGACAGTGGGGGAACAGAGGGGAAGCGGGCATTCACGCATGGTCATGTGTTGGCGGTTCAAACAATGCACAAGTGATTTACAATAAGAACAGTCAAGGGGGGGGAGTGGAGAGGGATGCACAGGGGCAGCATACCGTGTGGGGGTGCCTTGCAGGGAGTGCTGTGTGTGAGGCATGTCAACCACCATCAGCTTGCACGTCGTCACCGTCACATACGACGCCTCGCCCAACCCCCCTGGGCTTGGCTGGGGAGTGAGGTAAGCGGGGGCATGGATGCTCACGATGCGCCCGTCCTCCACGATCACCCCCAGCTCCATCTCCTCAAGGCTGCCCGTGCCCTCTCTGCCGCTCTGCCACGTGCCCGCCTTGTCCCCATCTCTGTCCTTGGAGCTAATGGCGCGCACCAGCCGCTGCCGGCCCTTGGACAGGCTGCGCAGCCCGCTGCGCAGCGCCTCACTGCGCGCGCGCAGGAACCCCCCGCTGCTGCCCCTGCTGCTGCTCCCCCCTTCCCCGCCCTGCTCCACGCCCTCGCTCCGCACCTTGCGCACCGCCTGCCCCTCCGCGTCCTTACCCCCCCACGCTGTGTCGCCCCTGCCATCTGCCCCATCAGAGGCGGTGGCAGAGAGGGCCATGGACGCGGACGTGCGGTCGTCAAAGCTGCTGGCGCTCGTGCTGCCGTTCATGCTGCCCTCCTCGCCGCTGCTGGGTGGGGCTACACTCTCCGCTGCCACCCCGCCCGCTGCCGTGGCTGCTGGCGGAGAAAGTGACGCGCCAAGTTGCGGAGAAGAGGACGGAGCAATTTGCGGGCTGCCTGCGGCTACAGCTGCACCTTGAGGGCTGCCGGCCCCGCCACCCCCCTCCTCCTCCTCGCCCTGCTCCTCGCCCTCCTCCCCCTCGTTGCCCTCATCGCCCTCGTGCCCCTTGCTGCCATCCCCCGGCAGGCGCACGGCGCCCAGCAGCAGCAGCGCGACCTCAGAGGGCGCGAGGTGCACGGGGGAGTGCGGGGCGAGGGTGAGGAGGCGCGCGGACTGGGAGAAGAGCACGCGCAGGTCGTGCATGGATAGCAGCCCGAACTCCATGGGGCGCACCACCCGCGCCACCTCCAAACAACTCTCCTGCCAACCAGAGTGCATGGTGGGGGGTGATAGGGCAGTGGGAGTTGACTGGGCAGGCCATGATGTGCTGTCATGTGAGCCGGCAGGGAAGTATGGTGCAGTCTTACTGGCGTGACACGTGGTGGTGCTGACAAGGACCCAGTCGTCCAATCCTGCCTAACGTCTACTCAACCACCTCCCACATCTCCCTAACATCCTACCTGTCTCCACACTACCTACAACCCCTCGCCCCCACCCACCCGCACAGCCCTCAAACCTCCCTTGCTCCCCTCTCATCCCAACGCACCTTCCACAGAAAGTCTTCAATGGCGTCGCTGCTGCTCTTGGCGGCCATGATGCGCTGTCTATCAATGAAAAAGCAGTGCAGCACGCTGTCAGCCGTCACCGAGTACTGGTGCGCGCACCCCCTCAGCGTCTCATACAGCCCCACGGAGCTGCCGTGTGCAAACAGCGGCGGGATCAGGTGCTGCCCGTGCGCCTCTGCCTCCGCCTCCGCCGCCTTGGACGTCCACTGCAGGGCACATGTGCGCATGCACGGGCAAGCAAGGGCAGAGGGTGGCTCGCAGTGAGAACAGGGTCTACCACTGGAGTGGCGTGGAAAGGCACTCACCCATGTATCCGTGCACAGATATGGGCTTGACACAAGCCACAGGTGCAGCATAACATCGTGAATATTCTTGTGCGCTTGGCTTGACCCAAAGCATCAGCTAGGTGCGAGTGATATGTCCAATGGCTGGGCATCGGTCTGGTGCTGGGCATCGGTCTGGTGCTGGGCATCGGTCTGGTGCTGGGCATCGGTCTGGTGCTGGGCATCGGTCTGGTGCTGGGCATCGGTCTGGTGCTGGGCATCGGTCTGGTGCTGGGCATCGGTCTGGTGCTGGGCATCGGTCTGGTGCTGGGCATCGGTCTGGTGCTGGGCATCGGTCTGGTGCTGGGCATCGGTCTGGTGCTGGGCATCGGTCTGGTGCTGGGCATCGGTCTGGTGCTGGGCATCGGTCTGGTGCTGGGCATCGGTCTGGTGCTGGGCATCGGTCTGGTGCTGGGCATCGGTCTGGTGCTGGGCATCGGTCTGGTGCTGGGCATCGGTCTGGTGCTGGGCATCGGTCTGGTGCTGGTGCTGGGCATCGGTCTGGTGCTGGGCATCGGTCTGGTGCTGGGCATCGGTCTGGTGCTGGGCATCGGTCTGGTGCTGGGCATCGGTCTGGTGCTGGGCATCGGTCTGGTGCTGGGCATCGGTCTGGTGCTGGGCATCGGTCTGGTGCTGGGCATCGGTCTGGTGCTGGGCATCGGTCTGGTGCTGGGCATCGGTCTGGTGCTGGGCATCGGTCTGGTGCTGGGCATCGGTCTGGTGCTGGGCATCGGTCTGGTGCTGGGCATCGGTCTGGTGCTGGGCATCGGTCTGGTGCTGGGCATCGGTCTGGTGCTGGGCATCGGTCTGGTGCTGGGCATCGGTCTGGTGCTGGGCATCGGTCTGGTGCTGGGCATCGGTCTGGTGCTGGGCATCGGTCTGGTGCTGGGCATCGGTCTGGTGCTGGGCATCGGTCTGGTGCTGGGCATCGGTCTGGTGCTGGGCATCGGTCTGGTGCTTGGGCATCGGTCTGGTGCTGGGCATCGGTCTGGTGCTGGGCATCGGTCTGGTGCTGGGCATCGGTCTGGTGCTGGGCATCGGTCTGGTGCTGGGCATCGGTCTGGTGCTGGGCATCGGTCTGGTGCTGGGCATCGGTCTGGTGCTGGGCATCGGTCTGGTGCTGGGCATCGGTCTGGTGCTGGGCATCGGTCTGGTGCTGGGCATCGGTCTGGTGCTGGGCATCGGTCTGGTGCTGGGCATCGGTCTGGTGCTGGGCATCGGTCTGGTGCTGGGCATCGGTCTGGTGCTGGGCATCGGTCTGGTGCTGGGCATCGGTCTGGTGCTGGGCATCGGTCTGGTGCTGGGCATCGGTCTGGTGCTGGGCATCGGTCTGGTGCTGGGCATCGGTCTGGTGCTGGGCATCGGTCTGGTGCTGGGCATCGGTCTGGTGCTGGGCATCGGTCTGGTGCTGGGCATCGGTCTGGTGCTGGGCATCGGTCTGGTGCTGGGCATCGGTCTGGTGCTGGGCATCGGTCTGGTGCTGGGCATCGGTCTGGTGCTGGGCATCGGTCTGGTGCTGGGCATCGGTCTGGTGCTGGGCATCGGTCTGGTGCTGGGCATCGGTCTGGTGCTGGGCATCGGTCTGGTGCTGGGCATCGGTCTGGTGCTGGGCATCGGTCTGGTGCTGGGCATCGGTCTGGTGCTGGGCATCGGTCTGGTGCTGGGCATCGGTCTGGTGCTGGGCATCGGTCTGGTGCTGGGCATCGGTCTGGTGCTGGGCATCGGTCTGGTGCTGGGCATCGGTCCTGGTGCTGGGCATCGGTCTGGTGCTGGGCATCGGTCTGGTGCTGGGCATCGGTCTGGTGCTGGGCATCGGTCTGGTGCTGGGCATCGGTCTGGTGCTGGGCATCGGTCTGGTGCTGGGCATCGGTCTGGTGCTGGGCATCGGTCTGGTGCTGGGCATCGGTCTGGTGCTGGGCATCGGTCTGGTGCTGGGCATCGGTCTGGTGCTGGGCATCGGTCTGGTGCTGGGCATCGGTCTGGTGCTGGCATCGGTCTGGTGCTGGGCATCGGTCTGGTGCTGGGCATCGGTCTGGTGCTGGGCATCGGTCTGGTGCTGGGCACTGGTCTGGTGCTGGGCATCGGTCTGGTGCTGGGCATCGGTCTGGTGCTGGGCATCGGTCTGGTGCTGGGCATCGGTCTGGTGCTGGGCATCGGTCTGGTGCTGGGCATCGGTCTGGTGCTGGGCATCGGTCTGGTGCTGGGCATCGGTCTGGTGCTGGGCATCGGTCTGGTGCTGGGCATCGGTCTGGTGCTGGGCATCGGTCTGGTGCTGGGCATCGGTCTGGTGCTGGGCATCGGTCTGGTGCTGGGCATCGGTCTGGTGCTGGGCATCGGTCTGGTGCTGGGCATCGGTCTGGTGCTGGGCATCGGTCTGGTGCTGGGCATCGGTCTGGTGCTGGGCATCGGTCTGGTGCTGGGCATCGGCCAAAATCACATGGGAGCAAATGTGACCGTGCTGACTGACCTTGGCGGTACCGGAGGCGATGAGCCAGACGCCCTGGGTGGGCTGCCCCTCGTGGAAGAGCGAGGCACCGGAGAGTTTGGTGGCCTCCTTAAGCGGCTGCAGCAGCGCGAGGCGGATGTCGGCCGGTAGCGCTCCAATGAGCGGCTGCCTTGCCAACACCTCCCCCGCCGGCAGCATCGCCACAAACGGCGGGCTGCGCTGCAGTTTCTTCATATCCGCCTGCAGGAGAACCGGGAGAAAGGGGGACAAGGGGCCCACACTGTGAGAACAGGAGGCATGTGAAAGTGTGGGCGTAGATGCTGTGGCATGGCATGGCATGGTATGATATAGTATGGTAAGGCATGGCATTGTGTGATACGGCACATGGCGGGTGCGAGGGCGAGGAGAGGGCAGACCGTGACGGCGTTGTGCAGCAGGGTGACCTCCTTCTGGTCCAGCAGCCCCGAGTGGTCGAGATTCTCCACATACCCGTACAGCTCCGCCAGTATTGCCTGCGTCACCTGCTTCGTCTTGATGATTGTCAGCACCTGCCACCATGCATGGGCACACAGCGCACGGCATGTTGCGAGAACACACGTGAGTGGCGCAGGTGGAGGTATGTGGGTACACAGCACGGCACCGCACAGCACAGCACAGCACAGCACAGCACCGCACAGCACAGCACAGCACCGCACAGCACAGCACAGCACAGCACAGCACAGCACAGCACAAGATGATGAAGTACGGCACTGCGAGCACGGCTGACCTCGGGCACGTTGAGCCGCACGTCCTCCAGGAACTTCCTCGCCTCCGTCTCCTCCTCCTCGCTCTCCAATATCACCGCCTCCAGTATTGGGCTGTCCTCTGCACACACAGGCAGGGAAGGGGAGAGAGGGGCATGGTGGGCATGGGTGGCATACAGGAACCATACGCTCTCAGCAGGGCGTCGTGTGCACCCATCTCTTGGCAGGGGTTTTGCATGAGCAACTCTCAATCACTCAACCACTCAACCCAGCAAGCAACACGCACTGAGGAACTCTCGCAGCTGCTGCCGTGTCTGCCGGAGGGCACGGATGTAAGCGGCGCTCATGGAGGCGGCGAGCTCCAGGCGGTCCACTGTCACCCAGTTGAGGGCGCGCTGCGGCAGGATGGGGCGCAGCGAGCGGTGCAGCGCACGGAAGAAGCGCGGCATGCGCACGTGCGGGCGCATGGCCGCCCACAGGCACAGCCGGTGCCGCTCCGTGGAGAGGTCGACGGCCTCGGCCACGGCCTGCATGAGCAGCATGGCGGCTGTTTGGTTGACGCGCCCCTCCTCCAGCATGCTCCAGTACGCCGCCTGCACGCCGTTCAGGAAGCGCAGGCGCGTGTCCGCCAGCTGCTGCTGCCGCACCGCCTCCTCCGCCTGCTTCTCCACGTCCACCTCCCCCCCTGCCTCCCCGTGCGCGTGCAGCGACGACCCCGTGTGCGTGCGGCTGCCGCGCGTGTGCGCGTGGTGCCCTGCTCCTGCCCCCCGCCCCCCCGGCTCCAGCACCTTCTGGTCCAAACACGTGAGGTACTCGCTCACTGTGCTCCACTCCGCGGGCCCCAGTTCCTCGTCGTCGCCGATCTCCTCAAAGGTCTTCACGGCGTGGTCAAAGAGCTCGCGGCGTGTGAAGTGGATGACATGCTTCTTGACGTTGGACGTGCGGTTGAGGCGCAGCGCCGCGAATATGAACTGTGTGGTGCTGCCGTTCACTATGAGCGTCAGGAACACGATGCCACCCGTTATGAACATGAACTGGTGGGCGGGGCGGGGGAGGGGGGGAGGGAAGGGAGGGGACGTGGAGAACATGTCACGATGAGCGTAAGAAACATAATGCCGCCCGTCATGAACATGAACTGGCGGGGGAGGGGAGGGGAGGGGGTCCAGGTGTTCAAGGGGGGCGCGAGGGGTGGAGGGCGGGGGTGAGGGGGGAGAAATGCGGGCAGGCGAAAGAATTGGGGGAGGTGTATGAGCGAGAGGGTTGGGAGCAGGCGGGCAAAGCAGGGCACAGGGCATGGCGAGGAAGAGAGCAGGGATGGCGAGGAAGAGAGCAGGGATGGCGAGGAAGAGAGCAGGGATGGCGAGGAAGAGAGCAGGGATGAGTGGAGCGTGGCGGGCAGCGGAGCATCTCACCCTGGCTGACGTGGACTCTGAGATCTTGTCCGGCTGCTTCTCATGCTGCCGGAGGGGACATGGGGGGGAGGCAGGTGCAGGGGAGAGGAGAGTCAGGGGGTATGATCATGGCAGGGCAGAGCAGAGCAGGGCAGGGCAGGGCAGGGCAGGGCAGGGCAGGGCAGGGCAGGGCAGGGCAGGGCATGAGAGCAGGCAGCAGATAAGGGGAAAGAAAACGCAACGGCGGGCCTTGGAGGCCAATGGTATGGCAGAGAGCACCCTCAGCAGAGAGCAGAGAGCAGAGAGCAAAGAGCACTCACGCTGACGACAAGGGCAAGCGTGAGAGCAATGCCGCCGCGCAGGCCGGACCAGACGAGGATGATGGCCTCCTTCCACGTGAGCCCGTAGCCGCTGCTGGCCAGCCCGGGGTACAGCACTCCCACCACCACCACCCGTGACAGCTGCACAAACACAAACAGCGCCAGCATGTAGCCCCAGTCGCTGCCTGGCGATTGGAGGGCAGGGGAGAGGAGGGTGTGAGCAAGACGGAAGAGAAGGCGAGCGTCTGCCATGATTGTGCTGTGCTGTGCGGTGCAGTGCTGTGTTGTGCGGTGCTGTGCTGTGCGGTGCAGTGCTGTGCTGTGCTGTGCTGTGCAGTGCTGTGCTGTGCTGTGCTGTGCGGTGCTGTGCTGTGCTGTGCGGTGCTGTGCTGTGCGGTGCTGTGCTGTGCTGTGCGGTGCTGTGCTGTGCTGTGCTGTGCTGAAAGAGCATTTGAGGAGAGTGTGTGCGCGCAGCGCAGGTGAGGCAAGGCAGGAGCGGCAAGAGCGGCGGGGCGGGCAGGGCAGCATCAGAAGACAGGGCAGGAGAGGCGGGCGGCACCTTGGATGTGGCTGGCGTTGTGCAGCACACTCTCGGCGATCACCACTCCACTGCATGCACGGGGACAAGGAGGAGCGCAGGCCATGGGGGTGGCAGCATGACCAACGCGGAAGTCCACTCAAGGGGCAGTCGGAAAGGCAACTGGCGGGGCGGGCGACACAAGAGGCTCACACACGAACGCCAAGGCCCAAGGGAATTGGGAGGTGGGGGGAATGGGAGCAAGAGTACCTGAGGACAAAGATGAGCGTGTTGGCGATGTATGCTAGCATCTCCCTGCATGGCACCACATGCACACTCACACACACACTCACACACACACACACACACACACACACACACACACACACACACACACACATGCAAGCGTGAGTCAATAACGTGAGGTGGTGACGTGTGGGCGAGGGGTGAGAAGCAGCATGGGAGCAAAGAGACGAGAGCATGGCCTCACCAGAAGAGACGAGAGCATGGCCTCACCAGAAGAGACGAGAGCATGGCCTCACCAGAAGAGACGAGAGCATGGCCTCACCAGAAGAGACGAGAGCATGGCCTCACCAGAAGAGACGAGAGCATGGCCTCACCAGAAGCTGTGCATGTTCTTCTCATTCTCCCCTGTGAATGCCGTCTTGGCGAATATAGCAAACATGCTGCCATGCACATGCCACATGCCCCATGCCACATGCCACATGCCCCATGCCCCATGCCCCATGCCACATGCCCCATGCCCCATGCCACATGCCATATGCCCCATGCCCCATGCCACATGCACACAGTGACGAGCACTTGTGAGAGAAGCTGCGACAAAGCTGGGATGAAACTGATTAATGAACAGCAGAGAAACATGCGGCAGAAGGATGAGTAAGGTGGGTGGGCGGGAGCGCGCTCACATGCCGAGCGTCATATCGGACATGACTCCAGACATGTTGGTCACTGCGTTCGCCTGTACCCAGGGGCGTGGGGGAGACAGGCACACAGGGGTGCAGGGTTGAGGTAGGGAGTGGAGAACGGATTGGGGAAAGCTGACAAGGAGTGTGGGAGGACGGAGAGCAAGGACAGGAGATTTTGGCATGGTGTGGCATGGTGTGGCATGGTGTGACATGGAATGGCATGGTGTGGCATGGTGTGACATGGTGTGGCATGGTGTGGCACGGTGTGGCATGGTATGGCATGGTGTGGCATGGTGTGGCATGGTATGGCATGGTGTGGCACGGTGAGTGGATGAGTGAGGGCATGGCAGGGTGAGTGAGTGAGAGCGCGGGGGCACACACAACGAAGAAGGCCATGTAGGAGCCGCAGATGGTGATGGTGATCTCGATGATGTAGTCGTTGAACACAGTGCGCAGCCACAGCAGACTCACCACCCCGAACGCCATCCCCAGCGCTATGCTGCCCGCACAAGGGGGAGAGCGGGATGAAGGGGAAACGTGAGCTAGTGGGCATTGCTGATGGGTGACGGATGCACTCTTGGATGGGATGGGAGCACATTGGGGGCGGATGACATGGGGAGCGGATGACATGGGGAGCGGATGACATGGGGAGCGGGGTGGGGGGAATGGAATGGGGAGCAGGCGGAAGGCATGGGCAGGGCAGGCAGGCAGGGGGCACGCACCCGCCGAAGAAGACGCGGCACATGAAGGCAACGATGTCCCCCGGGGAGAACGAGTAGCCCAGCACGAGCTGCAGGAAGAGCTGGAATATGGCGATGGCCGCCCTGCCACCCATGCGGGTCAGCGGGGCAGGGGGCGAGCGATGCAGGGAGAGGGCAGGCAGACAGTGTTGAAGGCAGGGACGATGCTTCTGCATGCCATGCCACGCCTTGTGCCCTCCCTACAATGCTACCCATGCCATGCCCTCCATCCGCTGTCATGCCATGCCATGCCCACGCCTTGTCAACCCCCACCATGCGCCCTTGCTGCCTCACCCCTGCTGCTGCCGCCCCTCCCCCCGTTCATCACCCCTCCCCCGTTCATCACCCCTCTCCCCGTTCATCGCCCCTCCCCCCGTTCATCGCCCCTCCCCCCGTTCATCGCCCCTCTCCCCGTTCATCGCCCCTCCCCCCGTTCATCGCCCCTCCCCCCGTTCATCGCCCCTCCCCCCGTTCATCGCCCCTCCCCCCGTTCATCGCCCCTCCCCCCATTCATCGCCCCTCCCCCCGTTCATCGCCCCTCACCCGTCGTTCATGAGCGCTTCGCCGTCAATGATGGTGCGCAGCTTCTTGGAAGCACCGAGCTCCTTGAGCAGCGCCACGACGGCGACGGGGTCCGTGGTGCTGAGCACGCTGCCCAGCAGCATGGCCGTGCTCCACGACCACCCGTATGGCAGCACGCACTGGGCGGGCCGTGCATGCAGGCACACGTAGGGCGGGAGGGAGGGAAGAGATGGGAGAGTAAGCAAGGTGGTGGCGCTGGGCACGCAAGGTGGTGGCGCTGGGCACGCTGCCACACGTTCAGGGAAGCGTACCTTGCAGATGACATGGATAAGGGAAGCGTACCTTGCAGATGACATGGATAAGGGAAGCGTACCTTGCAGATGACACCGAGGAAGCCGGTGGTGATGACGACACCCGGCACTGCCAGCAGGAAGATCTGAAACATGCACCGCTGCCCGAAGGGACGGGGGGATAGCAGATGGAGATGCCAAGGGGCGAGGAAGGGGAGAAGGATAAATGAGCGAGTTGCGCGGAGGCAGCATTGCGAGCAGAGGGAGCGGAGCATGGGGGGCACACCTTGATCTGGTGCAGCATGGGGAGCGCACCTTGATCTGGTGCAGCATGGGGGGCGCACCTTGATCTGGTGCAGCATGGGGGGCGCACCTTGATCTGGTGCATCTCGAAGGCGAAGGCGCTTTCGAAGAGCAGCGCGGGCAGGAAGACGAAGAAGATTATATTCGGCTCTATCGCCGCCCCTGCGCGCCACATGGGGGACGGGGAGAGCCGTGGGGCAGGCAGGGGTGGGGGGGGGTTAGAGAGGAAGCGAAGAAGCGAGGGAGGTAGGGAGGGAGAGAGGGAGGAGGAAGAGCGGCGAGGATGGGTAAGGCAGCGGTGGAAGGCGGGGGTTGGTGTGTGTGTCGCAGCAAGAACGGCGACAGGTGACGAGCAGCGCAAGAGGGGTGCAACTGATTGGAGCTGCGCGCAAGAGGGGTGCAACTGATTGGAGCTGCACGCGAAACTAGACAAACGGACGACTGCGCGCGGGGCGGGCGGAACGTACACTTGCGGATGCTGAGGCCGAGCAGCCCCAGGTCCACGTAGAACTCTGCGCGTCGGGAGGGGCGCGGGGGCGGAAAGGCGGACGGGAGGGAGGGAGAGTGCAGGCACGGAGAAACGTCAGTGTGAGTGCGTGCGAGTGTGTGCGAGAGAACGGGAGCGCGGATGATGAGGAGGAAACGACGCATGTGAGAGGGGGCTCAACGCTCCGAGCAGCTCTACCAGCTGGCGGCTACTGCAGCAAGTCACGGCCGCTGCTGGCGCGCCAAGCGCCGTCGACGCTGCTGCTGCACGCAAGCGGAGTCAGTGGCGACGGGTTAGCGCGCCTTTATTAGCATACTACAGGTGATGCTCCTTGCACACACATGCCTACGCCCGACACCGCTGCTGCCGCTGCTCTCCCCAGGCGGCACCAAGCTATGCGCAGGCGCGCCCGCGCGCGGGAGGCTCACCAAACGCGCCGAGCGCGATGCCGACGAGCAGCAGCGCGACGGTGTACGGCACGCGCGTGTTGTTGAAGATCTGGCGGCACAGCGCGCCGAGCGCCAGCGACACGGCCATGAACAGCAGCGCCACCTCCCCGCCCGGCACGTAATTCGCCGCACCCATGGCGCCCGCGGCTCTTGCGCCGCTCCAAACGCGCGAGTGCGCTTTGCGGGACTAGAGTGGCGCGGGGTAAATTGGAGATCGCCTCTACGCCGCTCTACGCGCTGATTGCGCGACTGACGCGGTCAGGAAGGTTCATAACATTAGTGCGTGAACTTGCTGCGTATCTGGGGCGATAGAAAAACAGTCTCGTGGAGGGTGGGAGAGGAGAGTGAAAAGCGACGAGGCAAACAGCAGCATGCAGTGATGAGGTGGAATGACTCTCCACTCTCAGCGCTTTGCACGGCTCGGCTCGGCACGGGCAAGGCAAGATCATGAAAAGTGGCCGCCACCACATGAGCCTGCCCTCTGTTTTCACCATCTTTGTTTTCAACTTCCTGTTAGTGTAGCTGCAAATAGCTTTCATGAAAACAGAAAACTGCCCTGCACAAATTTTCTCGTCGTCCAGAAGCTTTCAGATTGCAGCAACGAATGGTTGAGGTTCGTTGAATGTGAGCTCGTAGGCGATGTCCTGTGAAACACTGCCAACGCATCAGTTGCCCTTTGGCCTCAAGCTTGTCCGCATTATCATTGGCTGGCGACCACCATCCCTTGTGCTGCTTTCCACGTCATTCCACCTTCATCCAACCAAACATCGCCAAACTTCAGCTGCAAACCAGTTTATTTTCACTTGAATGCTTGTAATGTACTCTATACATCGTTGTACAAATCTTCCACCTTCAACTGAAAGAAGGTTCTTACATAACTTCAAAATTAACAGTAACGGGACACACTTCCTCATCACCCCTTGCCTTCTGCACAGCACGTCAGCACAGACATGGCTCTCTCTCGCCGCCTTACCTCGCCGTGCGACCTGCGCGCGTGTCTCGGCGCAGTCTACCGCGCGTTTTCCACCTCCATCCCCTCCGCCCATCCGTTCCCCTCCCCGCACCCACTTCCGCACGGGCCAAGTTGCGCCGCGTCGTCGCGATCCGATCAGCCAACCCTTCCGTGCACGCCGTACGATCTCGAGCAGCAAGGAAGCGCAGCTGAGCCGTTGATTTACCCTGCCGTCCCCGCCGCATCCGGCCCTTCCGTTTTAGCCCCGTCGCATTCACTGTTGACGCCAGACGATGCGAATCGATTTGAGGTTATGGCGGTCCCTAAGAGGAAGGTATGCAGCAGTTTCGTCTGACTCGTGGCTGCAAACAATCGTGTTTCGTCCAACCGACCCTGCGTGTGCCTGCGTGTGCCTCCCGTCCCTCACGCCATCACGTGCAGGTGACGCCGTCACGGAAGGGCATCAGGAATGGACCCAAGGCGCTCAAGGCTGTGCCGGTGGTGGTCAGATGCCTGTGAGTGCCGCAGCTATTCACCTCCGTCCATGCTTGGCAATCGTCCATTCACATCCTCTCTGCTACCACGCCGCACCATGCCACACCCCCTCATGCCAACCCAATGCAACCTTCCCATCAGGAGTTGCGGGTGTGTGAAGCTGCAGCACCAGTACTGCTGCAAGGACGGGGACAGGCACCGCCAGCCGGCTTCGGAGTAGGGTTGTGCTCCTCCAGCAAGCTTGTTTTTACATGGGAGTTGAAGCAATCATGAGCAGCAGGTGAAGGCTTTATGACACCAGATCAGATCTGAAGCTTCCACCCACGCGCTAGCCCTGAGACAAAGCCCTCAAATAAATATATAAAGCTATTGCACAACACAAACAAGCAAAGTTCGCCTAGTTGCAGCTTCTCTAGTGCTTCATGTGTATGGGCTACTTCATACTTGCGATGCAAACGGACCATTCTGTGCTCGCCACATCTGCTGCTACCCACTCAGGTTGTTTAGTAATGGTCCTGCTGCGAGCAGTGCACACAAGCACGTGTGTCAGGAGTCAAGCGGGTGGCACCACACCACGTGCTGGGCGTGTCACCGCATGGGCTGGAAGCCAGCAGCGGGCGCTAGGCACGTGGCGCACAGGTCAGCATCTCGGGCGCAGTCCTCGCAGTCTGTTGTGTGCATGCATGGTTGAAGGGGTGATGGCACGTGGGGGGGCAGAGGGGCACAGCAAGTACCGGTATGATTGGCATCATGCTGAGGGATGTTTGTGTTACGATAGCAGACTACGAGCGTGAGGACGAAGAGTGCTAGGGGCGCGCTGAAGGAGCACACGAGGCAAGAAAAGGCAGCGGCAGTGATTGCGAAGTTGAGGTTGCAGAGACTGAGCAGTGAACGATGCGCTTGCAGTGGTTCAGGTACACACGGGATGTGTGCAGCATAAGTGCTTAAGGAAAGGCATGGGGAAAGGGAGAGGACGAGGGAGTGAGAGAGGCAATGCCATGAACGGGGAGAGAGGGCGAGAGAAAGCGGGGCACGCATAGTTGCATTGCAGGGTGCAACGAGGCGTACAGCACGAGTGGTGGCACGGCAGGGTCTGCGTGGAGATGGGGGCGTCGAAACAATTCTTGCAAAAATAATCCCCCCCGCAGTCCATTTCCATGCCATCGTCATCGCCATCATGGGCATCATCGAGCTGATGATGCGCATGATGGGGATGATGAAGGTCATGGTTAGGGAGGAGGTGATGGAGGCAGTCCTCTACCGGGTCTATCTCTGAGCCGCTCGTGCTGCTGCCCTCCGCCCGCACTCGCATCTGCGCTCCACATTGTTGCCACGACGCCGTTCAAGCCACACGGCCCACGCATGGAGTTGTTGTTGTTGCACCGTTGCATCGCCATGCCACATGCAGGGCAGCAGAGGGGAGGAGCGTGGAGGGGATGGGGTGGGGAGGGGAAGAGCGTACAGCAGAGGATAAGGGAAGGTGAGGCAGTGAAGCAGCCATGGTTTTAGTGGCAGCTGGCAAAACATGGTGGAGGGATTAGCAGCGTGGCATGGCAGGAGGGGGAAGATCTGAAGGAGGTGGGTGACGACGGTATGGTCCAAGCCCCTTTCTTCAGGTAGCTTCACTCCCTGTCATTTGTGAACTCACAGCAGCTGCCTCATTCTGTGTGCCTTGTGTATGTATGCCTGTGAGGGTCATATAGAGAGGAGGTGAGGGATGAACTCTAGTGAAGCGGGTAAAATGATCAGGATGGGAGGAGCAAAATGGCCGGGAGGGGAGACAGGAGGAGGGAGGGCGGAGCAAGAACGGGGAGGGGCGGGAGAGCACCTTAGCGACCTCGAGCTTGGTGAGAGCTGTCTCCATGTCCGCCTCCAGCGCCATCAGCTCCCTCAGCGTCAACCCCGCCAGCTGCTCGCCCTGTAACACAAGGGGCGGTGGGAGGGGGGAGGACATGTGCCCCAGAGTGAGGGAGGAAGCAGGAGCAATAGGGGGAGTGAGGAGGGGCCAGAGGTAATCAGACTCTAATTCTTAAATCTGGCGAAGTTGATGGGTGATGGGGCAGGAGGAAACAATGGCACCCTGTCAATCCCACACTCCCACCCCATGCCCGCACCTTTCTGCGGGCGAGCTCCTCCTTGAGAGCACACGTCTCTCGCTCCACTGCCATCTGCACTCGCACCTCCACCTCCCCACTCGCCCCCTCCCCTCCACGCGCCCCCAACCCCCCCGCCGACCCCGCTCGGATCAACTCCATCGCCCGCTCCGACAGGCTCACCCCGCCCTCGCTGCCCCCCTCACTACCCACCCCCTCGCTGCGCATGCTCTCCCCTTTCCGCAGCTCCCCCAGCCACCGCCCGCTGCCCCCAATGCTGCCCGCCAGCTCCACCATCTCCTCCGCGTCCAGCAACCCCCCTCGTCCTGCCGTGCCCCCACCGCCCTCCCTGCCACTGCCCTCACTATCCTTGACAGAGGCGGAGCGACTGCCACCCCCCATGTGTCTGAGCTCAGCCACGAGCACCCACATGGTGCTCAGGTCCCTCTCCAGAGCCGCCTCCCTCTGCTGCGCTGCCGCCAGGCTCTGCTGCAGCTCGCCCACCTCCCTCTCCCGCACGGCCAGCATCGCGTCCTTCTCTGCTTCCAGCCGCGCTGCCACTGCCGCCACCGCTCCCACCGCCCCCTGCTTCCTCATGCCCTCTCCTGCGCCACCTCCTGCGCTCTCTCCGACCTCCCCACCATCTCCGCCCTCCCCATTCTCCACTCCTCCTGCCTCTGCAGCAGCAGCAGTTCGGTACGCTGCCAGCTCAGCACGGGCAGCTGCCAGCTCAGCCTCCACGAGCTGGTGCTGCTGCCGCTGCTCCTGCCACTGCGCCTCCCGCGCCCTCGCCGCCTCCACCTGCTGCAGCAACCCACTCAGATCCGCCCGCCCATCCGGCCCATTCATGTACGCCCCGTCCAAAAACGACGCCAGGGACGGCGCCCCTGCTGCAGCACCTGACCCATCTGCCCCACCAGCAGCGCCAGCACTGGCAGGGGCAGAGCAGGAGGCGGTGAGGGCGAGGGAGCGCGCCCCTGCGAGGTCCTTGGTGAGCTGGTGCTGCTGCTGCCGCAGCATGTCCGCCTCCTGCCGAGCCAGCCTCACATGCGACCGCAGCTCCTCCAGCTCGCCCGCCCTCACCAGCACCATGCCCTCCCGGCCACCCCCTCCCCCCTCACCGCCCCCTGCCCCTGCCCCCGTGCCACCCTCGCCCTCCCCTTGCCCTGCTGCGTCCGCTTGCCCGTCAGCCTCCCCGTTGGCGTCCTCCTGCCCCCTGGCAGCGTTGTGGCGGGTGGTGATGGCGCGCGTGAGCTCCACTCGCAGCATGTTCGCCTCCTCCATCAGCTGCTGCACCTGCCACGTCTGGTGCCGCACAGGGTGGGGATGAGGCGAGAGAGAGGGGACGAGTGGGAGCGGGTGAGGAGTGGTTGGGGGTGTGACGTGCGGGAGAGGCAGAACGTGCAGGTGGGAAGGGACGAGAAGCATGGTGCCAGCTGCTTCCGGGAAGAGCACATTGAGCAGGTAGATTCGGGGCAGTGGCGCCGGTGCCGCTCACCTTGGCCTTGAGCGAGTCCTGCAGAATACGGTTGTCTGCACTCACGATCTGACACGGTGGCCAGGAGGGGGAGCACGGGCAAAGAGAGGAAGGTGGTAAGGTTACCAAGTAATGAGGGAAATAGCGCACATGCAAGCAGGCCAGTGCAGCGAGCACAAACAGAAAGTCCGTTTCTGAGTGCTCTCAAGCCCGTCCGCCAGGTGAAATCCTTTCACTTGATACCCCTCTCGCTCACCTCCATGTCAAACGCCTCTCGCTCACCTCCATGTCAAACGCCTCTCGCTCACCTCCATGTCAAACGTCTTCTCGCTCAGCACTGCCTTGAGCTTCGCTATTGTCTGCACCACGTGGGACACGGGCCGTGTAGGAAGGCACATGGGCACAGGGCATATGCCATGGGGCGTAGGGAATGGGAGGTTTAGGATGGAACAAAGGGCGTTTGTAATGGTTCGTGGAACAAGGGACAAGAGGCCTTGACGTTTGAAATCAGGCATGGAAGAGCGTGTGGGAAGATGTGTCAGAGGAGGCATGGAGCATACAGCATTCATTTTGGGGCATGGGGCATGGAGCAGGGATGTCATGACTATTATTTGCCTTGCTCCCACCTTGGCCATCTGTTCCTGTGTGGCCATGTCTGCCTCTGCGCCCACGCCCAGGCCATCACTGCCCCCCGCGGCGCTGGCAGCAGGGGAGGGCTGGTCGCCCTGCCTGCGCCGCATGAGCTCCTCCATCTCGCGCAGCTGCTGCTGCTTGCCCGCTAGCTCCACTCGCAGCCGCTGTGGGACCCAGGCACACAAGGGGGAGGGGCAGGCAGAGACAAGAAATGAACAAGGGACTGATATTGAAGACAGAGAGGCTGAGAGACAGCATCTTCATGTCAAGGCCTCTTGTAAAAAGGGAACCTACTATGGAACATGGGGTCCTACTACTTTCCACTGCCCCGCTGCCCCCACCCACGCCTGCCCTGCAAGCCCGCTCAACTGACCTCAATCTCCTGCTGCTCCTGCGGTGTGTTCTCGCCCTTGTCGATGAGGCGCCTCAGGTTGGACGTGTGGAATCCCACCTCCGCTGATAGAATCTTCACCTGCGGGGGTGGGGGGGACAGAGAAGGGGAGAGGGGAAGAGAGAGAGACTGAGGGAAGAGGAGCGACAGCAGATGAGGGGAGAGCAGGAATGGATTCCGATGTCCAAGTTTCTGATATGAGACTACGTTGCCGTTAGACAGGCATTTCTGTGTGTGCGTGTGTGTGTGAGTGCCATGCTGCTGCTCTAGTTAACATTGAATCACAAGGGTTTGCATTGCCCACTGACCTGCTCCCTCAGCAGCTCGCACTGGTCCATGAGCGTCGTGCCGCTCTGCTCGTGCCATGCACGTAGGGGGGATGGCAGGGAGAATGGGGGAACGTTGAGAGGTGAGGAAGGAGCACAGGTCGTGGAAGCGAACGGAGAGGACATGCAAAGGAAGAAGGACTTGACTTGCAGCGTCCATCTCTACGAATCAGCCACATGCTCTCACCGATGGGATTCGCACGCCTGTGATGTGAAACAACTCCCCCGCCTGTGTTGACGCCCTCACCGTCTCCACACACCGCCCCCCTCCCCCCATACCCATGCCCATGCCCATCCCTCCCCCTGCGCCCGCCTCGTCCACACTGAGCAGCGACGCCGTGCGCCGCACTGCGCGCGTCATCCTGGGCGCCCCCGCCCCCGCCCCCCCTGCCTGCTCCTCTGAGCTGTCTGTGCCGCTGCTGACCCGCGTGAGCCACTGGCCGCTGTCACTGCCTGCTCTGCCCGCGTCCATGGCAGTGCCGCTGCTGCCATCCGTGGCGCGGGCAGTGAGTGCGAGCATGGGGTCCACGTTCTCACTGCCCGCCAGCGACGCGTGCACGCCCCCCTCGCCGTCCCCGTCCTTGCTGCCCGCCCCGTCCTTCTGTTGCGCACAAGGGCAAGCCAAGGAAGAGTGGGGGGGTAGAGATGAGGTGGGAGATGCCTTAGGTTGACCTTGCCTTGTTTGTATGGCCGTATTACGAATGCGCTGTAATATCTTGCTTATTCAATGAAGGACCATTCGAGATGAGGTGGGAGAGGAGGGTGGCGGTGAGGGCGGCTGGACAACAGGTGGGTGCTGATGCACCACTCTCTGCATTCCCTCTCACCCGCTTCTACAATCCCACCATCTCACGTTCGTTTGTTCCTTGAATCACCACCATCTTCCCTCCCTTCTCCCCCCCTTCCTCCCCACCCCACGGGACGCACCTTGGAGCGAAGCCATTTGAGGATCATGGGACCCCCATCGTCGTCCCCTCCCCCTCCCCCGCCCCCATCTGCGCCTGCGCCCGTCCCTCGGGGCGAGGCAGCGCCACTGCCACTGCCGCCGCTGTACATGCTCACAGAGCGCGACCCTGCTGCGCCCACCGTGCCCCCCAGGCGCTGCAGGTCGTCCCCCGCGCCTCCCCCCGCGCCCATGGCGTCGTCCAGCAGATCGAAGCCCAGATCCATGCGCCGCTGCTTCAGGTACGCCAGCTGGCATGAGGACACGATGCCACGTGTGTGGACGAATTGGGAGGGGGAAGGAGAGGGGAGGGGGACGGGAGGAGCGCATTAGAGAAACAAAAGGGAGGCGTATAGAGTTGCAGGAGAGGCAAGGCTACTGCGCCGTGAAGGCGCATCAAGCAGAAGCAGAAACATGTTAACAAGGCCGTCACGCAAGGGCAAGTGGTGCATGCGGGGGCAAGTGGTGCATGCGGGGGCAAGTGGTGCATGCGGGGGCAAGTGGTGCATGCGGGGGCAAGTGGTGCATGCGGGGGCAAGTGGTGCATGCGGGGGCAAGTGGTGCATGCGGGGGCAAGTGGTGCATGCGGGGGCAAGTGGTGCATGCGGGGGCAAGTGGTGCATGCGGGGGCAAGTGGTGCATGCGGGGGCAAGTGGTGCATGCGGGGGCAAGTGGTGCATGCGGGGGCAAGTGGTGCATGCGGGGGCAAGTGGTGCATGCGGGGGCAAGTGGTGCATGCGGGGGCAAGTGGTGCATGCGGGGGCAAGTGGTGCATGCGGGGGCAAGTGGTGCATGCGGGGGCAAGTGGTGCATGCGGGGGCAAGTGGTGCATGCGGGGGCAAGTGGTGCATGCGGGGGCAAGTGGTGCATGCGGGGGCAAGTGGTGCATGCGGGGGCAAGTGGTGCATGCGGGGGCAAGTGGTGCATGCGGGGGCAAGTGGTGCATGCGGGGGCAAGTGGTGCATGCGGGGGCAAGTGGTGCATGCGGGGGCAAGTGGTGCATGCGGGGGCAAGTGGTGCATGCGGGGGCAAGTGGTGCATGCGGGGGCAAGTGGTGCATGCGGGGGCACGTGGTGCAAGAGCCATGCGGGGGCACGCTACTCACGTCCTCCTCGCCGAAGGAGAGGCGGCGGCGCAGGCGGCCGGTGGGAGGGGCGTGCTGAGGGGGGGCGGGCTTGGAGGCGGAGGAGGCCTTGGAGGACACGAGGATGAGCTTGGTGAGGCGCTGTATGCGCGTCATCAGCGCCGCCTTGGCCTCCTCCTCCTCCTCCAACCTCGACTGCAGTAACATCTGATCCGCCTCCAGCTGCATCGAGTGGAAAGGAGAGGGCGGGAGGGGGGAAAAGGGGGGAGACGGAGGAGGGGGGCAGGTAAGAAGGACGCCGAGGGCAAGGGATTTGGAAGAGCACAAAGGAGAGAAAAGAGGGAAGCAGGTGAAGAGAATGGAGGATGAGGCACAGCCAGCCGCGCACAGCGCCAACGAAGGAGCAACAGCAGTGAGCAGCAGGGGGGCGTGCAGAGGCAGCTGCCACCAACTCACCTTCTCCCGCAGCACTGCAAGGTCCTGCCCGCCCATGTCTCCTCCCCCGCTGTCGCCCATGTTGCCGTTGCCAGGCGAAGCCCCCCAGGGCAGTGCGGGGGGGGCGGGCGCGTGGGACATGGTGTGCTTGAGGCGCGTGAGCTCGTCCTTGAGCGCCATGATCTCCTTCTGATACTTCTTTATCAGCGACTTCTCGTCCAATATCTGATGCCGTGCCCCCACGCAGGGGAGGGGGGAGGAAGGAACAAGAGCGGACACACAGATGAGAGTGGGACAGGACCACTCCTCGACGCAACAAGAGAAGCGCTTCACCCTCCAAGGAGGTCATTCATTGAGACAGAAAATGCATCATATGAGGCCAACAGAGGTCCGACGGGTGCCCACTAGCGGGGCCCACCCCACCCACGCGTGTCTTGCGTCCCATGTGTGAGTGTGGCTGACCTTGTTGGCGTTGGCGCGGATCTCAACGTGCTTGGCGCGCGAGGCGAACTTGAGCGTGTTGTGCGTCTCCTCCAGCGTGCCTGAGGCGGGGGTGACGGTGCAGATGAGCGAGATGCGCGCGTTGCCACTCAGTGACGTCTGCAGCAGACGTGTGAGCTTCGAGTCCCGGTACGGCACGTGCGACTGCTTGCGCTCACTCAGCTTCGATATCACCTGCTCCACACCACCACCGCACCATCACACACCAGTACAGCACCACGACACAGTGCCATGACAGGTGAGGGTGATGAATACTACACCCCATGGGCAATGTAAAGGCATTCTTTTCATGAAGGTTGAGCACCACACGAAGTGCGTGTAGCATGCAGGTGACGATGCTGAGCGAGGCGGACTGACCGTGGCGAGCGTGAGGGGCGACTGACCGTGCCGAGCGTGAGCAGGCTCTTGTTGATGAACGTGCCCTCCCTGCGCCGCACGTTGTTGCCCGTCGTGGCTCGGCTGTTCTCCGACCCCGCCAGGTCGATCAGGTTCTGATACCCCACACACACACGCATGCACGCACGCACGCATGCACACACACACACACACACACACACACACACACACACACACACACACAGGTGCAGTTAGAAGAGAGCACGCTCCAGATGAGGCGCAGACTGAATGCGTAGACTGGAGGCGCAGGAAGAAGGCAAGGCAAGCATGTTTTTGGGAGTGTCCATCGGCAGAAATCAGCATACATCAGTGTGGAGTGGGACGACAAACGAGGAGTGGAGGGCAGGGGCGCATGGGAGGGGGGAGGGGGGCGTACCAGTTGCGAGTAGGTGACCTCCTCGTACCCCTCCAAGTCCCGCCCGCTGCTCTCCACGGTCTGCCGCACAACCAGGCGTAGGGGGGAAGAATCGAGAGTGAGGGGAATGGCAGGGCAGGTTGCAAGATTAAGCAGCCACAATTTGGGCACAAGGTGCAACGAGCTCCAAAAAAACAGGTGTTTGAAAGAGAATGAGGGGGAGCAGGAGGTGGGGGGAAGAGGGGGCGCGGGGGAAGGGGGAGCGGGGAACCGGGTGGGGCTCACGAGAGTGAAGATGGTGTGGCTGCGACTGCTGGCCGTGTTGAAGTGCGTGGCGCCCACATGCCGGTGCTCTGCACACACACGAGTGAGCGCACACAAGTGAGCCGCACGAGGTGAAGTGCGCGCACAGATGCAGAGAGAGTGAATCCGATGCACACACGACGAGCAGCACAAACTCGCAAGGGCGGGTGGGAGAGGAGGAGGCGGAGGAGGAAGAGGACTGGGGGGAGGAGGGGCTTGCCTTCGCCGGCGGCGATGAGGGAGAGCGCGTGCGCGGCTGACAGCACCACCTCCTCCTTCACGTTCTCCACGAACGTGCCATGCTGCTCGTGGAGCAGGGAAAGAGCGGGCAGGGCACGGCAGCACGGCCGGGTGGAGGAAGGCAGGGAATGGCAGGGCAGGGGTTGCTAGGGGAGGCGAGGCGAGGGGTGGCACACACGGAGCAGCGTGAAACGAGTCGCATATTCGTTGGCCCCCCCCTCATTCCCCTATCAATTTCTCTCGTTCCCGCTCTCTCCTCTGTTTCCCCTCTCCCCCCTCGCCTATTCCCCTGTTTCTCTCTTTGCTTTCCCCTTGTGCTCGCCCCCTGTGCTCCTCCCCACATCCTCCCCCCTCTTCCCACCTCCCGCCTCTCCGCACCTGACCGTCTTCGCGGATGCGCAGGTTCTGCCCGGCAGGGTTGAGCAGGTCGTTGATCACCTGCCATGTACGACGCGTGGGGACGGCGGGCGGATGAGCGACGCCGTGCCACGGCGGGCGCGCAACAGGCGCGACGGTAGGGCGCACGAGCTTATGTGTTTATGGAGTGGAGCTGCGCGATTAGCCAATGCGTGTGGTGTTAAACATGTGGGAGGGGCGGCGGACGCATACAAGATGGCAGATGCGTGCATGAATGCGAGGCGGCAGATGGCATACGCGGTGCAAGGCGCTGGATGCATGCATGCGTGGCGGCGGGTGCATGAGCGCAAGGCAAGGCAAGGCAAGGCAGCGCGGTGAGTACCTCGTTGTAGATCTCGAGGTACGACACCCGCAGTAGAAACTCGCGGCCAGGCGTCTGGGGAAGGGCAGAAACGAAGAGACGGGCACAAGGGTGAGAGGAGAGAATGAGAGAACGGCAGCGAGGCATGGAGGACGACATGAGAGAACTGGAGGGTGGGTGTACGACAGGGGGCGGACATCAATCGTTCTGTGCTGACATTCATATTCTGAATCATACTCATCACTCGCATCCGGAACCATACTCATCACTCACATCCTGGATGATGCTGAACACCTCCTTCACGGCCAGCGGAATGACACCCGGAGACTTCTGGTCGCCCTGCGCGCATCAGCGCACGCACGCGGTGGGGAAGCACAGGGTAGGACGGGGTGGACAGTGAGGGCGACGGGGGCAAGAGGAGGTATGTGTGTCGCACAGTCATTCGCAGCGCGTTTCACTCACATGCATGCTGCGCGTATCATCTAATGCTCTGCGCTCTGCTCGCATACAAGCTGCGCTTACTTCTCACACGTATGCTGCGCTTCTACTCGCATCGCACGCATGCTGCGCTTTCTACTCACGTGCATGCTGTGCGTTTTCCCGCTGCTCGTGACGCCGTACGCGAAGACCGTTCCTGGAGGGCCATCACACGCACACACAAACACGCACACACAGTGAGGGGGATGAAAAGACCCGCGTGGCGCCGTGCGTCATGTTGTTCGTTCTTTTTCAACCATCATTGCTTACCGTTTTAAAATTATTTCTCACCGTTGATTCCTTCCATCGCAGCGGATACGACGGGCTGCGCTGCCACGTCATACACCCCCCGCGTCGTTGTTGCGGGCCCAAACACCTTGTCTGCACGCACAGAAAGGTAGGGGTGGGGTACGGGAGAACGAGGCGAGTAAGAGTGACGGTAAGGAGTAATGTGAGTGGGCCAACCAGAGTGGCATTATGTCGAAAGGTTCAAATGCCCTGGCGGAAAGGCCTGCTGTCGTGGTGGGGGAAATCACTAGCTACGGAGCCTTAGCTCATGCCTAGTATGTGCTGTCTTGAAACTCTCATCGTTGAGCATGAGAAGGTGCGATACGTCTAGTGGGTGCTGAAGCTACTAAGGCACTAACCGTAGGCATAGGCGATGGCGGGGTTCGACTCCATGCGCACGATCTTGTCGCCGTCGGCGTACCACCCGACGTCCTCTCCACGCTGAATCTCTCTCAAGCTGCCACCACCACACCATCATGCGGCCACAACAGTCAGTCAGTCCCCATGAGCTACTACCATGTTCACCTGCTCACGCAACGCGGACGACTACTTCTACGCTGCGAGTCTGCCGACGAACCTGAGCGGGCGGAACCGGACGGTGACTAGAACGTTCTCGTTCTCCAGAGGGTTGGGCACGACCGCCATCTCCGGCACCAGCATTGGATGTTGCTGGGTCGACGGCGCGAACGACACCTGTCGCGGCTGGGGCTGCGCGTGAACACGTGGCCCTGGCATGGCACCCCCACGCACCGTATGGTTGCTAGGACTCGGACTCGAAGAGCGGGCCATTATCGGCTTAAGACCTGACTGACTACCGACAGGGGGGCCGGGTGCCGGTGCGTGACTCGTCGGCTGCCTAGACGGCCTAAACGCTGAGAGGAGATTCGGAGTGCCGGTTGTGTGGCGGCTCGCTGACTCGTTAGAGGTGCCTGATGACGTGGCCTCATCTTCTGGCACTACGGGAGATGCGAATCCCGGCAGAGGCAACTTGGAACCCGCATAGTTGACTCTCCGCTTGGAGGTACTGCCACTAGGACTCGGAGGCGCCTTCTTACTCGGACTGAAGGAAAACCTTCTGACTAGCTTACTGTCCATCATCTTGGCACTCGCCGATTATTCAGCCACAAAATGAAAGATTTAGAACCAGGTCATGCCTTCGGAAAGTTGTTCGAACATTTACTTCACAGTTGTACTACTGGGATTCTAGCGGAACGTCGTCGATGCTGCTTAAGTGATGTGCTTTGACTAGTTCGCCAAAAATAATCCTTCTTGTCGTCTTCCGATAGGTTCCGCGAAAGCTCTCCAATTGTACCCGTGTCAGAGGTAAGTCGATAAGCTAGCAAAGTAAAACTTCTACAATTGAGCAGGAATGGACGTGATGTAGGGAGATGCTGGGCCCATAGGACCAGAGAGTGAGAGTCCTTGGGAACAAACGCTGGATGCGGAAGGATTCGCTATCAGGAGTGTCGTTGTTCGTCCTGCCTTCCCAGAAAGGCCTCGATGCAACTTTTGAGAGGCGGGAAAGCAATGCCCGAACAAGCCGCTAGGTAGCCCTGGTCCTTGTGATGCAACTTCCAAGGTTGACCCCGCCTGCACCACCAACTTCCAGGTTATCTATACCGTTGCGTTGCGGTTCGAGCGGGTTTCGCTTCTGACAGGCGATGCGATCAAGCCAATCAAAGGAAAGCTGACGGCTTTCGCATCAGGGTGCAGTAACAGTAGATGGTTTTGAAGTTGTTACAAGCAGCCTCGTTAATTATATGAGAACTATCAGGTCACACATAGCTGGTATTACACACAATGCCATTTGCGGCAGATTTTTAGCATCTCTTTGCTCACGAATTCTTTATTCAAAATAAAAGTTTTGAGAGAAAATATTGATTCTACACTCTGTTTTCTATGATTTGATGAAACTTAATGAAGAGGATGGGAATTATTAACATATGAATAACATGTTCAATGTAGAGCGTGCTTTACATTCATACTTTCTGTTCTACAATTGAGCGTTCTTCAAGTCGTGCACTCTCCTCGGCTGGCGTCGCCTGCGGGGTCAGAGCGGACGTGACAGACGCATCCTCGAGTCTTATTGGTGGAGACTAATTTCCATCCTCCCAAGCACACGGGCTGAGTGGAGCGTCGAACAAAACCCCGTGTCAGCTTGCTGACGCGCCTTGACGAGAACGCCTTTGGCGGGGCACTCGCGTCGCAGTCAATTCGGCTGTTCTGCTCCTCTGCGCTGGAAGGGAGCCCCCCGACACACAGACATTCGCCTCGCCTCCGCTCGATTACAGCCGAGCCGCGCATTCAAGCCCCTGCCATATTGAGATTTCTCCACCCATTCCCAACCCTTGCGCGTTCCCTTGGCATGGCACGGTGGCTTCACATAGCTCCCTCCCTGCTTTCTATTGCAGAGCGTCACAAGGCATAAGGCAACGCACCAAGTGGCATCGATCCATCCATCAGTCACGGGTCGACCGCTGCATTCACTACTTTGTTGTCAGTCGGGGAAATAGATTCTAACGCACGGGAAATCGAAAGTTGGGCTGGTGGTCTTTCACCTGACGCTCTCCCTAATTTCGCTTGCGAGTACCGAATTGAGGTAGAGCGTATCACAGCAACAAATTATCAGAAAGCCGTAATCCGCCTGCGAATGACAGCCATGGCAAGTAGTTTACGATGGACCCTGGCAGCATGCGTACTCTTATCCGCCTTAGCGCTCGTGGCGTGCAAGCCGCCGCCGCGGCCGGTGCAGGTGAACAATCAGATCTGGATCAAGGGCTTCGGACCCATACAGGGCACGGGATGCCCAGGCTTCACCAACGTCTCCGCCTTCTACGGCGTGCCTTACGCCCTGCCGCCCACTGGCAAGCTGCGGTTCGCGGCGCCCGTGATGTGGGACAAGCAGTACCCGTTCCCCTACAGACGCGCCGACACGCCCCCGCCCAAGTGCCCGCAGCCATACCGCGCGGTCACTGACAACATCAGAGAGGTCAGTGCGATGCGATCGGAGAAGCGCGCACATGTTCTTACGCGAGTCGAGTTTCTGAAGGGTGATTTTGGGGTTGGTCGGGGAGCTTGCAAGTTATGCCTCGGTGTTTGGTGTTATTCGCGGTGATACTTTTCTCCCGTAATCTTCGTCCCTCTGTTAGCCGTGACGGATAACTGCCCGGCCTCCAATTGCTTGCTTTCCGTTTGCTCCCTCCACCCTGCAACCCTAGCTCATCTACTCGCATCCGCGCCACCCCTCCCCACCGCTGTGCACCGCAGGACTGTCTGTACATGAACATTTTCACGCCGGCGAACGCAACGGCGAGCAGCACGGCGGTGCGCGTGCTGTTCCACGGCGGGTGGTTCTACAAGGGGTCGGCGTCCGACGACTTCGTCAACGGCTGCCAGTCCGTCGCCGAGACCAACACCACGCTCGTCATCGTGCAGTACCGCCTCGGCGCGCTCGGCTTCCTCGCGCACCCCTCCACCTTCTCCGAGGGCGAAACCACTGGCAACTGGGGTGAGCCCGCCTCCGAATCCCCCGCACCTCACCCTGTTCCCTGTCGCTCCACTCGCCGCCTGCATGAATTGCTCCTCGCGCCGTGTCCCCCCTCGCCTTTCCGATCAAGTGCCTGAGCCAGGTTACGCTGGCCGCTTTGGACTTACCTCGTGGTCGTTTTTCCCTATCATCCACCCCTCCCTCTGGTCGCGGCGTGCGTGCAGGGCTGCTGGACCAGCAGATGGCGCTCAAGTGGATTTCCAAGTACATCGGGTACTTCGGCGGCAACTCGTCCGTGCAGATCATGGGCCACAACGCAGGTGCGCATACTGCGGCACGGATGAGCGGGTTTATGACGGTGGTTGGGCGTGCGACGGACGGGAGGGGTAGGAAGGCTTAGAATGAAGATTCTCGAGGGTTATCCGAGCGTGCTGATCATGGAGTGCAGGGCAGGGTGCGTGCGACTGTCGGGCGCGAGGTGGAGGGAAAAGGTAGATAGGCGTGGGATGCATAATCCAATCAAGGTTTAGAGATGCGCGCGGCGAGCCCGAAGGGGGAGAGTGCGAGCAGTGATGATCTCGAAGCCCCATCCATGTCGCTCCGTCCGACAGCGCCGTGACCTGCACACATGCCTCCCCGCAATTCTCCGCTCACCTCGCGTTTTTACGTGTGTGCCCGTGCGTGTGCGTGTGCGTGTGCGTGTGCGTGTGCGTGGGTGTGGGTGTGACAGGCGCGGTGAGCGTGATGCTGCACATGGTGAGTCCGCTCTCCAAGGACCTCTTCACCTCCGCCGTCGCCTCCAACGGCGCCGCCATCCCGCTCTTCACGCAGAACAGGGTGAGTCCCCGTCGGGTTCATAGCGCGCCTATGCTCTGCCAGTTGCCTTGCTCCCGACGTCCCCCTCGTCACTCGCGCTCACGTATTCCCCGTTTCCCACTGGTGCCTTCGTGCCGCCGTCCCCCCGTTGCCCCACGGCCAGGCGTACGACTCGACCTACACGCTCGCCGAGGCGCTCAACTGCCCCCTCGACCCCGAGACGCAACTCGAGTGCCTGCGACAGGTCAGTCCCATGACACCCTGCGACACTCCATCGCATTGGCTCGTAAACTTGTCTTCTAGTTGCAGCCTCTTTACCGCACTTCCGTACCCTCTCCGCACCCTCCCGCGCCCGCCACCCGCTACTCCCCACGCATCCCCGTCTCCTTCCCCCCTGCCCTCGCTCATCGCGCTCTCGTCCGCCATCCCCCACTCTCCCGCTCCCCCTGGTGCAGACACGGTGGCAGGACATAGTGGCGAAGACGCCGGTGGTGAAGGACATATACCGGCAGCAGCGGCGCATCTTCTACCCGTGCATCGACGGCAAGGTCATCCCGCAGCAGCCGCTCGACATGCTCTCCAACGGGCAGCTGAACCCCGCGCCGCTGATGATGGTGACGAACAAGGACGAGGGGCGGCTGTACGTGCTCGAGTCGTTCGGCAAGTGGTGGCAGCTCAACGAGACGAGCGTCAAGACGTTCCTCGCCAACGTGTACCCGGGCGTCGACCCCGCGCAGATCATCCAGCACTACTGGATCAAGCTCTACGACAGTGAGCCCCGCGCGCCCTCGCTCCGCTCCGCGCACCCTCCGCGCACTTTCCGTTCCGCGCGCGCGGTACCTTACCGCGCCAGGCTTCAGTTGCCCGTCTAATACTCCGTCTCTCCTCATTCCCTCATTTCATCGTACCCTCTCCGTTTTTCCCCGTCACCCATCGTCCCCGTCTCCCCCGCGCGCAGGTGTGTTGGAGCAGTACGCGGACATGTGGACGGACATCTACATCAACTGCCCCGCATACAAGACGCTCGTCGCGCTCTCCGCCTACCAGTTCCCGCCCTTCGACGAGTGCGCATACCCGTCGCCCTTCTACATGGGGTACGGCGCGCCGTGCAAGCTGCCGCTGCACCTCTACTACTTCGCCGTGCGCTCGCCGTGCCCCGCCGCCTCCAAGTTCCTGGGCGCCACCAGCAAGCGCGACCTGCCGTACCTCTTCAACCTCGAGGCCGCTCAGACCGGCTGCTCCTTCGACCAGGTACGCCCAGCCCAGCAGCCTCGCCTGCCATGCTCTTGTTCCTCCTCCCACATGCACTGCTTTCTCCATGCTTGGCTCCCCATGACTGTTCCTCTCGGTGGTGTTGCTGCTCCCTTCCCCTTTGCCATGACGCATCACTCCCCTCTCCGCTCCCTCCCCCTCCACTCCCCCCCCTGGTGCAGAACGAGACGGCATTGGCGTACGACACGACATACGCCACGGGCACGATGGCGAATCTGGGCAAGCCCATGTTCGCCAACAACACGCCGTGGGTCTACTGGACGCCCGACGGCCAGACCGCCATGGTGGCCGATCGCTCCATGGGCTACCTCGGTTACAAGACCATCGACTTTGCGTCCAAGTGCGCTGTATATGATAATCTCGTGCGCCCGCCGCCCGCCAGCCCTAAGATTCCGCGCCTCTCGCCCGGGTTCGGGCCTGTGATTCCCGGGTATCCCCTAGGGATTGCCGGGTCGCTGCCCTCGCCGCCGCCCCCGCCTGTGCAAACGCCGAAGAAGAGTGGAGCGCGGTTGAGAGGGGTGGGAGTGGGGTCGGTGGTGGTTGGGCTGGTGGTTTCTGCGGTGCTGATGTTGATAGCATGCTGATGGGATGGTGCTGATGGAGTTGCTGAGAGATGGTGATAGAGGTGCCGGAAGAGGAAGCTTGGTTAGTAGAGCCAAATTTTCCGACAGAAGATTGATGTGTTTAGGGAGCGTAGGGCAGAGGGATGCTTGCCTGACAGCTCAGCTGCTGGGCCTTGTAGATTAGCTTTCGAAAGTTATGGTATGTCTCTTGCTAGGCTGTGAATGATGAGGTTGCCTGAACAACCTGTTATTTTAATTAGTAATAATGGCTCTGTTCAAAGGTCTGCAGATATGAAGGGGTGTTGATGATCAGCTGGTTCTGGAAGCGGGCTGCAGTGGAAGGTGCACGGTGGTGGTGAAGGAAAGTAAGGCTGGTTGATGCATGCTGAAAGAGCAACAGGTTGCTGTGCTAAACCTTGGTAAGATTGCTTGAAGGGCATGCTGAGTGGAGATTGTGTGCACTTGCTGTAGTTCACTTCATCCACACATGCTGTTTCCATATAAACATAGGTAGAATATGTGGGAAACAATTAAGCTAAGCGCCTCTGTCGTGTCGAAACACCAAAACACAAGCGAAGCAAAACACTATCGAAGCACCAGCGAGTTAACCCTCGGAGGTTGAAGTAACTGTCGGAGGTTACGCGAAAGTCAAAGGTCAGCAACCTTTGACCTGACAAATACAGCGCGACAGCAAGGACACACAACTGACTCGTTACAGAGCAGTTGCCCGAGTCGTCACTGTATCGAACCGCAACAGCAACAGTAAATGTCAGAATGAGGAGCAGGGCCTAAAGCTGTAGGCTCGGGGGGCTCGGGGAGGTCACCAGTAGCGTGTGACCAGAGGGTCTCGCCCCCCTGGACCTGACTCTCTAACAGACGACGAGCGCGAAGAAGCCAGACGGAAAAGTCAAGGGGTCTACCGTCAGCGTCGAAACGAAGAACTCGCGGAGTCGCCATAGTGAGAACCAACGCGAACGAACAGGCGAGTAACAACCGGGGGGGGAAGAGGACTCAGTCGCAGCGGAAGAGCGGGCTAGGACGACGGGCCACGACGTAGGGTAGGGCAACGGGCCAGGGCCTAGGGTAGGGCGACGGGCCAGAGCCTAGGGAGGGCGACGGGCCAGGGCCTAGGGAGGGCGACGGGCCAGGGCCTAGGAAGGGCGACGGGCCAGGGCCTAGGGAGGGCGACGCGACGGGGGAAAGGGCGGGAGCGACGCGACGGGGCAGGGAGACGCGACGGGACAGGGCGACGCGACGGGGCAGGGCGGCGCGACGGAGCAGGGCGACGGGACAGGGCAGGGCGACGCGACGGGGTAGGGCGATGCGACGGGACAGGGCAGGGCAACGCGACGGGACAGGGCAGGGCGACGCGACGGGACAGGGCGACGGGACGGGGGGGGTAACAGGCGGGCGCGACGCGACGGGGGGAACGGGCGCGACGCGACGGGGGGGAACGGGCGCGACGCGACGGGGGGAACGGGCGCGACGCGACGGGGGGAACGGGCGCGACGCGACGGGGGGAACGGGCGCGACGCGACGGGAGGAACGGGCGCGACGCGACGGGGGGGAACGGGCGTGACGCGACGGGGGAGATGGCGCTAGGCTCGGTACTAGGCGCGGTAACTACGAAACTGGTACGAACGAGAGGTAGGATCAGGCTCGGGAGGTACGAACGGAGAACGGAGGAACGGGATCCCACAGGATCCTAACCTAGCTGATACCATGTCAGAATGAGGAATGGATGTGCATTGATGTTGGTTGGGGTACATATGACAAACCCTAACTTCTGTACCCCCTAAGACAAACCTCACTACAGGCTACAACATTTGACAGTAAAGTAGTTACAACTGTGTCTTTTCATATTCCTTGTATTCATATATAATCTTGTATCTCTTTGCTTTAGTCAATCAACTTTGCCCTCTCATACTCTTCATTAAAACGCTTAGCGCAAGTGGTTCACAACTCTTCATTAAAACGCTTCCGCTATTACATCAATTTTACCCATAATTCACCTTTGCAAAGATCCTCAGGGCTTTTTCTCAGCCCAACATGGTATCAGAGCTATCAGGGGGAATTCAACTATCAAGACACTTACAACATCAGAAGACATGGCTACTCAGAAGGAAAGGAGTTCCTCTATCAGTTCTCCCGGCACTACTCCCACTCCACCTCCTCCCTCTGGCCTACAGACAGAGGAGGGTACGGCAACAAGACCCAGGGCAACATCCACCGAGACTCCCGCGAATCAACCTGCAGGCTTTGCCAGAGCATGATGGAGAAGTTTTTTCTCCTTCATGTCCTACGAGCAACACCAGCAATCGGCACATGCGCAGTCACACAACAACAGCAACAACAACGACGTGACTCCAATGAGCCTTGATGGTTCATCCTACGCCCGTGGAAATCAACAGCAGCAACCTACCTTTGCTCCGTACGAGCCCCAGCGCGGCTCCGTCAGTTTTATGCCACAACTGCAGCCTGCAGCTGGACAAGAGAAGACACTGGACGCGCTACAAGTTCAGACGCAGTTCGCGCACGTTCTGAAGCTGCAGACATCAAGACCTTTCGACGGAAAGGACTTTTTTACCTGGTCATTCGAGTTCGAGCTGATGATGGAAGGTGCGCAAATCCTCGGCTTCTTCGACGGATCCCTGCCATACCCAACAAACAGCACACAGTACGAGAAGCAGCAGTACACCTATCAGTCAATGATGGCATACACAATCCTACTGAGGAACATCACCCCAACTCAGCAACAGAATATACGGTCTTACCAGGGATACGGCAACTCCGTTGAGCTCGCATACAGCCACTTGAAAAGCCTGTACCAAGCAACAGACAGCGTAAGTCAGAGTCGACTAATGGCACAACTGGCAACAGTCAAAATGAAACCAGGGGAAAAGGGGATGGCGTATATCAGTCGCTGTCGCGAATTACGCGACAAACTCTTTCGATGCGGAGGGTCGATATCTGAAGACGCCTTCGTGACAGTCATCATTGGCGGTCTCGGTCCTCAATGGCGCGCCACAAAAGCCATTCTCCGAGCTCACGGAAGAATCTCCGAAGCAGCACTTTGCTCCGAAATTCATGCCGAGCAACAAGACATGGACATGCAAGAAGAAAGGCACAAGAAAAAGACATCAGCACCAGAATTCGCTTTCCACACTCAGCGACGCTACAACAACAACAACAACAACAACCGACAACAACCAAGGCTCTGCAACATCTGCAAGACGTCAGGACACCGACGGACACATTGCCCGAATCGACAACAGTCAACTCCACCGCAACGACAGCTTCGACCTGTCAGAACTTATAGCTTATGCTTTTGTGTAGGCTATAGTGGGGTATCCCATAGGGGGTACAACCCAATTAGGGTTGGTACTTGTACTCACACATTTCATAGTTCATTCATTCGTGTTCTTTCTTTCACATGGAATCAGAGCAGGTTCCCTCCTAGGGACTGCTAATAGGGCCCACCGAAGCGCGCCCCGAGGCGCGCTCTTCTTTTTTTTTAGCGACCCTCCGTGTCGCCTCTAGCGGCCCGTCACGCCGCCCTTCCTTAGCGGCCCTGCCGCCCTGCACTACGCGGCCCTGCCGCCCTTCACTTAGCGGCCCCGCCGCCCTTCCCTCGCGGCCCCGCCGCCCTTCCCTCGCGGCCCCGCCGCCCTTACGTCGTGGCCCCGCCGCCCTTGCATCGCGGCCCCGCCGCCCCTGCTCTCGCGGCCCCGCCGCCCTTACGTCGCGGCCCCGCCGCTCTTACATCGCGGCCCCGCCGCCCCTGCTCTCGCGGCCTTGCCGCCCTTACGTCGCGGCCCCGCCGCCCTTGCATCGCGGCCCCGCCGCCCCTGCTCTCGCGGCCCCGCCGCCCTTATGTCGCGGCCCCGCCGCTCTTACATCGCGGCCCCGCCGCCCCTGCTCTCGCGGCCCCGCCGCCCTTACGTCGCGGCCCCGCCGCTCTTACATCGCGGCCCCGTCGCCCCTGCTCTCGCGGCCCCGCCGCCCTTACGTCGCGGCCTCGCCGCCCCTGCTCTTGCGGCCCCGCCGCCCCTGCTCTCGCGGCCCCGTCGCCCTGTGATCGCGGCCCCGTCGCCCCGCTATCGCGGCCCCGCCGCCCTTCCATCGCGGCCCCGTCACTCTGCTCCTGCGGCCCCGCCGCCCTCCTATCGCGGCCTCGTCGCCCTGAGCCGTGCGGCCTCCCCGCCCTCACATACGCGGCCCCGCCGCCCCCTCCTACGCGGCCCCGCCGCCCTCACCAACGCGGCCCCGCCGCCTGCACCTGAGCAGCCCCGCCGCCTTCACCTACGCGGCCCCGCCACCTCCACCTTCGCGGCCTCGCCGTCGCGGCCTCGCCGCCCACGCAGCCGACCGCCACGCCGTCCGGTACCGGAGCAGCCGAGCCGCCCAGCAGCAGCTGCCGAACCGCCGGACAGCCGAGCCGCAGTGCAGCCGAGCCGCCCCGCCCCCGAGCCGCCCTGCACCCGAGCCGCCCGGCAGCCGAGCCGCCCTGCACCCGAGCCGCCCTGCCGCCGAGCCGCCCGGGAGCCGAGCCGCCCAGCAGCCGAGCCGCCGAGTCGCCGGGCAACCCTCCTGCCGAGCCGCCCGACCTGCCCTGCCCGGTGAGCACCGTACCGCTGTCACTGCGTGCCCTTCCCCTACTGCTTGCACTGCTCCACTGTCGTCGTCATGGCTACCCCCAGTGTCCTCGCTTTTGACGCTGAGGGTCGAGCCATTGACTTTGAGGTCTGGGTCGATGACCTGCAGCTGTTCTTATAGTGCGATAGGGCAGACAGCCTTTCCCTCTTTGACCTCACCTCTGGCGCCTCTCCTGCCCCTGCTGCTGATGCTAACCCCACTGTTCGCTCTCAGTGGGCCACCCGCGATGCTGCTGCACGTCTTGCTGTGCGTCGCCACTTGCCCACCACTGAGCGCGCGCACTTTAGTCAGTACAAGAGTGCTCAGACCTTGTACAACGCTGTAGTTGCGCGCTACTCTTCCCCTGCCACTGCTGCACTGAGCCGTCTCATGCTACCGTACCTCTTTCCTGATCTCACTGCCTTTCCCACTGTCGCTGACCTCATTACACACCTCCGCACTAGTGACACTCGCTACCGCGCCGCCCTTCCTGCTGAGTTCTGCGCCAAGAACCCCCCCCCCCCCCCATGTACATCGCTCTCTATTACATAGTCACTCGCCTCCTTGACTCCCTTCGCGTAGTCAGGGACCACTTCCTCTCGGTCTGTCCCACCACTCTCACTGTTGACCTCCTCGAGAAGGCCCTCCTAGCGGCAGAGAAGAGCATAGTCGCTGTAGGAGCCTCCCGTGGAGACCCGCGCACCCCCATCTTTGAGGGGTGTTCTCCTTCCCCCCTGCTGCCCTCTGTTGCCTCTGCTGCTGCTGCCGACCTGCTTGGTCTTGAGTCGGTCGGCGCGGCGTCTGCCCCTAGCGGGAGACGCCGCCCTGGCAAGGGCAAGGGGGGCAAGGGCGCGGGTGGAGCTGGCGGGGGCGGTGGAGGTGGCGGTGGAGGCGGCGGAGGGAGTGGGGGTGGCGGTGGGAGTGGTGGCGGGAGTGGTGGCGGTGGCGGCGGCAGCGGCGGCGGAGGCGGTGGCGGCGGAGGCGGTGGGAGCGGAGGCGGTGGTGGTGGCGGAGGAGGAGGCGGTGGTGGCGAAGGAGGTGGAGCTAGTCGGGGTAGTGCCCCGCAGCGGAGCGGCTCTGGTGGTGGTCCGCGGCAGCAGCAGCAGCCGCAGAAGCGTTCTTGGGACGTCCCCACACCTCAGCAGCTCCGTGAGTGGTACACGCAGAGTCAGCGTGGTGGAAGCTTTAGCCCGTGCACCTACGTTCTTCGCAGCGGCGATCGCGCGGGTGAGCAGTGTGGGGGTGCCCACTCCACCCGGTGCTGCTTTGGCCGCCTGACGGACGCTTGGCGTCAGCAGTTCCCTGACGCTTCTGAGATCCCCCGCTGGGGAGAGCTGTCTAGAGGTGGTGTAACGATCTTTGATCTAGACTTTGATGCTATCCTTGCTGCCATGTATGCTGTGTCTATTAGTGATGAGGGTGACTGTTACCGGTGTTTCCCGCCCGACCCGGGCATTGGTACGGCTGCGCTAGTTGCCTGTGACACTGCTGCGCTCTCAGGTGCTGGTGAGGCTGCGCTCTCAGGTACTGGTGAGGCTGCGCTCTCAGGTACCGCGTCGGCTTCGGCCTCCCTCACCTTTACACTTGACTCTGGGGCTTCTTGCTCCTTCTTTCGGGACCGCACCACACTCACGCCGCTTGGCCGGCCGGTTGCGGTCTCCCTGGCTGACCCCTCTGGGGGTCCTGTCCTCTCTCACTTCTCCACTGTCCTACCGTGTCCAGCTGCCCCCTCGGGCACCCTGTCTGGTCTGTACCTCCCCTCGTTCTCGACGAACTTGGTGAGTGGTGCTGCCATACAGGATGCGGGGGTTCACCAGTTTACTCCTGCGAGTCAGCGGGTGACCCACTGCACGGACGTGCGCACAGGTCGGCACCTGGCCACGTTCTCCCGTCGGCCGGGGTCGAGCCTCTACACCCTGACCACTGAGTCTCCTCCTGTCCCTGTGTCTGGCCAGGTAGCTGCGTCGGGTCAGGTGTTTGCTGCTGCGTCCAGTTCTGGTCCTGAATCTGCCCCCTGCTCGTGTCGCCTCCTGTCTCACGAGAATCTCCTATGGCACCACCGTCTTGGCCACCCCTCCTTGCCCCGTCTCAGGGACATGGCTTCCCGTATCCTTGTCTCTGGTCTTCCCCGGTCTCTCCCTCCCCTTCCTTCGGGGCCAGGACCTTCCTGTGTTCCTTGTGTCGAGGGGTGCCTCCGGGTTGCCCCCCACTCCTCCCAATTTCCTCCGACAGAGGCTCCTCTGCAGACGCTTCACATGGACGTGTGGGGCCCGGCCCGCGTCCGTGGACAGGGTCACGAGCGCTACTTTCTGCTGGTGGTTGACGACTACTCGCGTTACACCACAGTCTTTCCCTTGCGCAGCAAGGGTGATGTCACTGAGGTGTTGATCGACTGGATCCGCGCAGCTCGTCTCCAGCTCAGGAGGAGCTTCGGCTCGGAATTTCCTGTTCTGCGTCTGCACTCTGACCGAGGTGGGGAGTTCTCCTCTCGCCTTCTGCGAGACTACTGTCGTGCACGGGGGATCCGCCAGACCTTTACGCTTCCGGACTCTCCACAACAAAATGGGATTGCTGAGCGCCGCATTGGCATGGTCATGGATGTCGCTCGTACGTCCATGATGCATGCGGCTGCCCCCCATTTTCTGTGGCCGTTTGCGGTTCGGTACGCAGCACATCAGATCAACCTTCACACCGGGGTTTCCCGGCCGGGGAAGGTCCGTACCTCCCCGGCCCTCCTGTGGACTGGGAAGGTCGGCGATGCGTCTGCGTTCCGTGTCTGGGGATCTCGGGCGTTTGTCCGCGACTTGTCTGCGGACAAGCTATCCCCTTGTGCTGCTCCCTGTGTCTTCCTTGGCTTCCCCCCTGACGCTCCAGGGTGGCAGTTCTACCACCCCTCCTCTCGTCGTGTTCTGTCCTCCCAGGACGTTACGTTCGACGAGTCAGTCCCCTTCTACCGCCTCTTCCCCTACCGCACTCCTTCCCTCCCCCCGCCACCGGACTTCCTTGTGCCAGGTCCCCCCCCGGTAGACCCCCTCCCCCCTCAGGTTCCTGCCCCTTCAGGTGTGTCCCAGGTTGACGCAGTCGAGCCGGTCGAGGTTGCTGGTGACTCTGGTACTGCTGCGGGTACTGAGCCTGGGGGTGCTGACTCAGGGGGTGCTGTGCGCGTGGGTGCTGAGCCTGGGGGTGCTGAGCCTGGGGGTGCTGTGCGCGTGGGTGCTGAGCCTGGGGGTGCCGAGCCTGGGGCTGCTGAGTCTGGGGGTGCTGCGCCAGAGGGTGTTGAGCCTGGAGGTGCTGCGTCTGGAGCTGCTGAGCCTGGAGGTGCGGAGCCTGCGGTCGCTGGATCTCCCCTTGTGGCGTCTGGCGGTGCTGGGCCTGGAGGTTCTCCGGGGTCTCCGTCTTGGCGGGAGCCCCGCTCTCCACAGGAGCTGCGCGAGTGGTTTGCTCGCCGCTGGAGGCGTACTGCTGGAGCTGGAGCTTCTTCGGCCGCTGAGGGAGCTGGTGCCGCCGGTCCTGGAGCTGCTGGGCCTTCGGGTCCTACTGGAGCTGGAGCTGCTGAGGGTGTTGGCGCTGAGACTGCTGCTGTCTGTCCTGGCGGTGGTCCTGCTGCTGGTGCGACTGGAGGTCCTGCCGCTGGAGGTGCTGTTGGCGCTGGTGCTGCCACTGAGGGTGCTGGTGCTGTCCCTGCTGTGCCTGGAGTCCCCGCGCGGCCTCGGCCGTACTTCGTTCCGCTCCTGCAGCAGGTTCTTGGTCTTCCTCCTTCTGTAGAGTGTCCGCCGTCTGTCCAGTCGCAGTCACTGTTAGAGCCGGCCTCCCCACTGCCTGCTCCCTCTCCTTACACTGGTCCTACTGGAGGTCTCGCTGAGCGTCGTGAGCCTGCGTCTCGCCCCGCGTCGCCTGTTCGTGCTGCTCGCGCTAGTGGTCGCGGTTCGCGTCAGCGTCCTCCTCCTGTCCCTGGCACGCACCGGATGTCTCTGCGTCCGTCCACTGCTCCTCTGCGTGCCCCTTTGCCTTCTCCTCCTGAGTCCTCTCTTCCTGCGCTTGCCGACCCGGAGTCGGACTCTCTTCGTGCTGCCAGTCCTACTGTCACGCGTCTTCTTGCTACTGTTGTCGCTGACCCCTCTTTTGAGTCCACTGCTGCGTCTGCTCTTGTCGCTGAGCTCGTCGACTTTGCTGCTCGCTGTCGTCTAGACTACGCTGCTAGTCTTGTTGCTGAGTCTGCGTCTGTCTGTCCTCCGTCCGTCGGGGGTGAGTGTGCTCTTGGCACGGACGTCCTTGAGGACAGGCAGGAGGAGTTCCAGTGTCTGGCTGCTGCTTCACCTCATCTCGCGTCTGTACTTCTTGCCCCTGAGAGAGACCCGGATGCACTAGACATCCCGACTCCGCGTTCTTACGCGGAGGCCGTAGAGGGTCCCTACTCCTCTCAGTGGCAGGCAGCTATGGATGCAGAGATGGCTTACTGGAAGTCCACAGGCACCTACGTTGACGCGGTTCCCCCTCCTGGGGCGAACATCGTCAGTGGCATGTGGATCTTCAGGGTGAAGCGGCCGCCGGGCTCTCCACCTGCCTTCAAGGCGCGGTACGTTGCTCGTGGCTTCAGTCAGCGGCAGGGAGTTGACTACTTTCAGACCTTCTCTCCCACCCCGAAGATGACCACTCTTCGGGTGCTGCTACACATAGCTGCTCAGCGCGACTACGAGCTTCACTCTCTTGACTTCAGCACTGCTTTCTTGTAGGGTAGCCTGAACGAGGAGATCTGGCTGCGCCGTCCACCTGGCTTCACTGGGACTTTCCCTCCTGGCACCCAGTGGAGCCTCCGACGGCCAGTCTACGGTCTCCGCCAGGCGCCGCGTGAGTGGCACAACACACTGAGGACTACGCTTGCGGCTCTTGGGTTTGCTCCCTCTACTGCTGACCCGTCGTTGTTTCTGCGCACCGACACCTCTCCGCCGCCGTTCTACATCCTCGTGTACGTCGACGACTTGGTCTTTGCCACTGCTGACACTGCTGGACTCGCCTACGTGAAGTCCGAGCTGCAGAAGAGACACACGTGCACAGACCTGGGTGAACTGCGCAGCTACCTTGGCTTGCAGATCACCCGGGATAGAGCACGCCGCACCATTACCCTGACTCAGTCACACATGGTGCAGCAGGTCCTTCAGCGCTTCGACTTCCCGTACTCCTCGCCTCAGGCCACTCCTCTGGCTACTCGCCACTCACTCTCAGCTCTGCCTTCGGATGAGTCCGTAGAGTCGAGTGGCCCGTACCCAGAGCTTGTTGGTTGCCTCGTGTACCTGATGACCTGCACACGACCTGACCTTGCATACCCTCTTAGCATTCTTGCACGCTAAGTTGCTCCTGGGAGACACCGACCAGAGCACATGGCTGCAGCGAAGAGGGTGTTGCGCTACTTGTGCAGTACGTCGGGCATGGGGCTAGTGCTTGGAGGGCGGAGTCCAGTGGTCCTCACTGGTCACGCGGACGCTTCTTGGGCTGACGACCAGGCTACGCAGCGGTCGTCGCAGGGGTACACCTTCAGTCTTGGTTCTGGCTCTGTCTCTTGGCGGGCTACTCGCTCGTCTTCTGTTCTCGGCTCCAGTTGTGAGGCTGAGATCTACGCCGGGGCCATGGCTGCATAGGAGCTTCACTGGCTCACCTAACTGCTGACTGACCTTGGAGAGGTGCCTCGTTCTCCTCCAGTGCTGTACGTAGACAACAAGGCCATGCTGGCCTTGTGTCGAGAGCAGCGCTTGGAGCACAGAACGAAGCACATTTCTCTCCGTTACTTCCTTGCTCATGAGCTGCAGCAGCGTGGTCAGTTGCGAATTGCTTACGTGGCCTCTGAGGCCAACACTGCTGATGTTTTCACCAAGGCACTTCTGCCTTGTGATCATCAGCGCTTCTGCACTCAGCTGGGACTTGTACCTGTCCTACCTCACTTGCTCTCCTCTTGACCTTGCTTGTACTCTTGCATATATATATACCTGCTCTTGCTTGTTTAGCCTTATATATATATGTCTCCTCTTGCATGTGAACTGGCCTTGTGGCCTTGACCTTGTGCTCGGACTGTGTGGTGACTTTGTGATCCACCCTGAGCTTTGCTTTGCTTTGCTTGACTGGTCTTGTGACCCCTTGTTCTCCCCCACTTTGCCTATGGGGGTGTGTCAGAACTTATAGCTTATGCTTTTGTGTAGGCTATAGTGGGGTATCCCATAGGGGGTACAACCCAATTAGGGTTGGTACTTGTACTCACACATTTCATAGTTCATTCATTCGTGTTCTTTCTTTCACACGACCCTCAAGCAGCTAAGTGGCATCGACGCAGGCAAACCCCACGAGTCAGACGCAGCCTTCAACAACACAATCTGCACAATGAGCAAGAAACATCGTCAGCTGCATGGCAAAACTGACCGATTCCTGCATCACCGAGTCGCTGCCACATTACTCACCGGAAGAGCAACTTGACAACATCACACCTCGCTGTGAACCGAACCCGACGTACGCGGCCATCGCCCAAAGTGAGCCATCCGGGAAGGACACTTGGTTATTGGACAGTTGCTGCGGGCAGCACATGTGCTCTTCGGGACGTTTCGTTCAGCGCGAGCACCAACTTCAACGCGAAGTCGTCATTACCGTCGCCAACAACCAAAACCTGCGCACACGACGACAAGGAGTGGTTCAACTCCAGTCGCGAGAAACAAATGTCATACTACAGATGTCGAAAGTCTTAATAGCAGAAGGCCTCGGCTACAACTTACTGAGCGTCAGCCAACTGATGGCGAAGGGCATACACCTTGAAGCAGACAGCACCACCCAAGAATTCAAACTGTACCACGGGAGAGGAGGCCTTTATATCGGAAAGGCAATCTTGAAAAATAATGTCTTCTTGCTCGACTTCGTCCCAGATCTCGGCACCGCAGACAGTGACGGGATCGTCACCTTCACCTCCTGGACACATCCACCGGACCTCGACCCCGACTTCAGTCCAGAAGGCTTCTGATATTCACATACCATTCCTGTAGCAGAAAGGACAAGAGCGTTAGCGACAATTCAACATTCGGCAGCAGCAGAGACAACATCGGCAACAACAGAGACAACATCGGCAACAGCAGAGACAACATCGGCAATTGCAGAGACAACATCGGTAGCTGCAGAGACAACATCGGCAGCAGCAGAGACAACATCGGCAGCCGCAGAGACAACAACAACAGTGGCAACAACGACACCAATTGCTCGCCCTTCAACGTCACCAATTTTCATCGACGATACACCACCAACACCCGCGCAGCAGCTAACTCCGACTCAACGAGAAGTCCACCGAAGCACCAACTTCACCACCGGTTTCTACTCCAACTCCGACATGTACCGACGCTCATCCGGACATCGCGCCACCGAAGGAACCTGGCACGCAATAATGGGTCACCCAAGCAACACGGTGTTAAATAACACGATAAGATCAGGAGTACTTGACAAAGACTCTCTACTCCTAACGGACGGCAGAGAACTTCAGCGAGCCTGCGGAACATGCTTCACCTGTCCCGAAGCTGACCTACCGCATCAACCGTTCGTGCCTCACCACAACCCAAGTGCACCAGCTTACGCACCACTTGAGAAGGTGTACAGCGACATCCTGTACAGCCGCGAGCATGGACAAAACGCGTACAACTACACCATCACCTTCATCGACGCAACCACTCGATACGTATGGCACCTCAATCTCCCAAGCCGCGACATGGCCTTCGAAGCCTTCGTTGCCTGGCTTCCAGTAGCAGAACGAGAATCCGGAGTAAAACTCGAGAGCTTCCAGTCAGATGGAGGGGGAGAATACACCTCACAAAGGTTCAAGGAGTACTTGGGAGAGAGAGGAATCAAGCGACTCATCTCTCTCCCCTACGCCCATCAACAGCAGGGTGTAGCAGAAAGAATGAACAGGACCCTCCAGAACACCATGCGCAAGCTGCTACGTGGCATGCACCTGCCCAACCACCAGGGGCCGGAAGCAATGGACCACGCCGTCATGCTGCACAACTTGCTCTCGTCATCATCGCTCCCGAACAACGCATCACCACATCTGCTGTGGACAGGGAAACTGGGCAGCACAAAAATGTTGAGAGTCTTCGGCTGCATGGTACAGTACCGGCCCCCATCTGCATGAGCTGGCCGATTCTCCCAACGCGCACAGTGGGGACTGCATCTGGGCATCGAAAAACACTACAACGCATTGAAGATTTTCGACGTCGAGACAAAGGAAACAGTAGCAGCACGTGATGTCATCTTCTACGAAAACCTCACCCTCCGGTATCACCTCGCCAACTTGCAAAAAGGAAACCCCGATCGCTCCAATGGTTTTCTTGGCACCCGAGCCTTCGCCTCGGTAGATGACGAAGCTGACTGGGACGAGCAGAATGTGGAAGGAGCCTCGGAAGAAGTCGGACCCCTCCCCTACTGCTCCGTCGACGTGCCAATGGATGACGAAAATCCACGCGACAACATCAACGCCGAAACCTATTACCACTTCGCCGACAACGGTTACGTTACACCTGCACAAGTCAACACCAACAAAGCAGAACGTGTAGGACCAAACTTCAACCCTACACCAGAAGCAGGAGACGAAGCAGTTTATCCCGAGGACACATCACTTCCCCGCTACACACAGAGTGGCCTCCAAATACTTGGCCTAGTCATTGCGGTCCACGGCACTGCGCTCCCTAAGGAGCCTGCGACAGTTCAGTAGGCTCTGGGGGGGGAGCATAAGGAAAAATGGCGCAAAGCGCTGGAGGAACGCAACACCTGGAAGTTCGTTCCCATTGGCGTAGCACGAAACAAGACAATTCTCACCGGAAAGTGGGTCTTCCGCGTGAAGACAAAGGCGACGGCACCATCGAGAAGTTCAAAGCACGCTGGGTCGTACGCGGCTTCGACCAGGAACATGGACGCGACTTCACCGAGACATTCGCTCCAGTCAGCCGACACACCTCGCTGCGAATTCTTCTCGCGATCGCCGCCATGAAGAAAAGGAAGCTGCGGCAAATTGACATCGCCAACGCATTCCTCTACGCACCCGTCGATGTAAAAATCTTCGTCAAGCTACCGCACGGCTCCAACGGAGAGCCTAATCAAGTCTGTCAGCTGCTGAAGTCGCTCTACGGCATCAAACAAGCCCCGAGGCTGTGGCAGCAGTACCTGCACACAAGACTCACTCGCATCGGGTTCCGCCAACTACCTCACGACCAAGGCATGTACCAGCTCACAAAGGGAACCGACTAAATCCTGCTAATCATCTACGTAGACGATTTGCTCTATATCGGCTGCTCTATATCGACTCAACCGACAGCGTCACTACCTGGTTTGAAGGGGAGTTACGAAGGGATCTCTCACCCTCGGTCTCGTCCACCGTCATACAGTACCTCGACCTCAACATCCAGGAAGAAGAAAATGCGATCTATCTCAGCGCCGCGAAATACGCCGACACCATCGCCAAGCGCTTCGCACTCACACCGACTGTCATCTCCACGTTATACCGCTACACGGCAGGAAACCACAAGGAAGGCTCCGCTCTACTCAAGCCCGCAGGCATACACGACTACCAGAGGAAGCTGGGATGCCTCCTCTTCACAGCTGTCACCTGCCGCCCGGACCTATCGTACTCTGCAAGTCAGCTCGCCACCTACCTCAAGAAACCTGAAGCGGAACACCTGGCGGAGCTCGATCGCGCTCTTCACTACCTCGTCAGCACTCTGACAATCGGCCTGACCTACCATAAAAACACAGCTACAACGCCTAAACTAATCGGCTACGTCGACGCCGATCACGCCAGCGACTCCGACAACATGCGCTCCCGCACCGGCTACATCTACCGCTTCAAGCCTATCGGTCCTATCTCCTGGCAGTCGAGCAAACATGAATTAATTGCCCTCTCTTCAGCTGAATATATCGCACTTTGCTTAGCCACCAAGGAAGGACTATACCTTCGCGAACTTCTGGAGGAAGCCAAGCTAGCCCAGTTACCAAGCTTTACCCTGTTCTGCGACAACCAGTCGGCCATTTACATAGCCAACAAGAACGGCTTCGCGAACAGGACAAAACATATTGCCCTGCGATACTTCTTCGTGAAAGACGAGATTGAGAAGGGAAGACTCGAACTGTCATGCTGCCCCACATCCGAGATGGCAGCTGACAACTTGACCAAGAAGCTTGGAAAGCAGAAGTTCGACTACTGCATGCTGCTGACTGGACAGAGCCACGTCACCAGCAGCGACACTCCAGAAGCAAAGGGGAGTGTTGGAAACAATTAAGCTATGCGCCTCTATCGTGTCAAAACACCAAGACACAAGCGAAGCAAAACACTATTGAAGCACCAGCGAGTCAACCCTCAGAGGTTGAAGTAACTGTCGGAGGTTATGTTAGAATACCTAGGCAAGGGTGATTGAATTAGGTCTAGGAGGGTACACGAATAGAATGTCGAGGGAAATTGTGTACCCCCTAAAGCTAGCCCCAATACAGCCTAAATAAACAATAAGCATATAGTTTGACACACCCCCATAGGCGAAATAGGGGATAGCCAAAGCAAGGACAATGGTCACAAGACCAGTCAAGAGAAGAAACAAAGCACAGCTCAGGGTGGATCACAAAGTCACTA